ATGGGTGGGTGGGTGGTGATGATGAGGTGGAGGTGGTGATTGATGATGCTAGCATGCGCCTTCTGTGAACCCCACTACTATTACCACCACCACCGCACGCCACCCTATCCACCACCCACCAGGCCACCACCCACCCCCACACCTCCTCCCTTTTTCCTACCACTTACCTAAAAGCTAAAACCTAACAGCAACACCGCCTCTCTCTCTCTCTCTCTCTCTCTCTATTTCTCTTTCTCTCTCTAGAATCGAGAAAATTAGCTCACCGCCTATCGCACGTGATTTGTCCATGACTTTAGCTAACTAACAGCTGCCGTAGTGGCTCGGCCGCCTTTAAGGCGGCGGTGGTGGTTACTGGTTACGCGCCTCACATCACACACAATTTCTCATCTCATCTCATACCGCTCTACAACTACTTGATTTTGTTGCGGTTTTCACATTTTCTGAATTTTTTATTTATTTTAACAAATTAAAAAACTATAGAAAGCCTACAGACATTCAATGAAATATTTAAAAATACAAAAAAAATATTATATAAATTTACAAATTTATTTCAGGAAAAAAAATTAATACATATTCAAAATATATAAAAACACTATAATTTATTTGAAATATATAGAAAAATCAATACTAATAACACAAGTCCTATGTAACAAAGCCTCCATTTAAAATTTAATGAGATTGAAATGATAGTCCATATAACTAAACATGCCAGCCCAATCGTTCATAGTAAAAAAAGGCCCTACATATATCAAAATTCGGCCCAATTGAATCACCCATAATTAAACTAAATAAAAATAAAAAGCATACATATATATATTCATTACAAGTCCACAATAAATATGAGTTACCACTTCAAGATCATCAACAACTTTGGGCATTCATATCAACACTTTGATTAACCTGCATTTCTTGTTCTTTATTACAAGGGGAATTGTAGTCTTTCTTTTTACCCCATATTACCAAGTAAAGCCCCATAATTATGATAATTGCTCCAATCACCCTGCATAAAAAATACTAATTAAAATAAAAAATATTTTTATTAAATAAATATAAATGCAAATATTAGTAGTTAACTACCTTCCTAGGTACATTTGCTCCGACAAAATAAAAGAACTCAAAACAGCAACAAGAACCATGCTTAGCGGGCTGAATGCAGTAACGAAAACCGGACCTCTTTCTTTTAGTACTACTCCTTGTACATAGTACGCGATACCCGAGCATATTATCCCCTGCAAAATCAACTCTATATTAATTAATTTATTCTACGAAAAATCTTGTTTAATATAAATATTTCAAGGAAAAAAAAATATATTTTGTATGTATGTTGTTGTTCTTACACTATATGCAACAGCTAGTAACTTAATATCCCATTTTAAGGACCAAGCTAATTTATCATTCTCCATTATTAGGGCAACTACTCCTCCTTCAACGGCTCCTAGCACGCATATCCAAGCCGTAAGAGAGAGTTCGGCTGGATATGCGCGCAGCGTAATCACCTATAATAATGCATAACAAAAGTTACAACCAATTTTTTTTTCTTTTTTTTTTTTTATATAATTTTTATTGCAAGTTTATTGAACCTGCAAGATCATGAAGCAAGCCCAACATAAGCATCCAATCGCGATCATGATCGCACCCGTAACCGAATGGTGGAAACTAATTTCGCCTTTTTGTGTACTATGGTTGTTGTTGCTTAATCCTTCTTTATTCCACGGGAGATGAATATGTGGGCCCTTAACTAGGGTCATGATCATGGCTCCAGTAACCGTGGTTAAAGTTCCAACCATCTTTGCCAGGCTATGTTTACTCGTGAACTTCACTTTCTCCAGCCTGATTTTATAAAATGAAGTATAATCGACAACTTATATATCAAATTGCAATATATATATATATATATATATATATATATATATATATATAATTAATTTTTACCTGAAAAGGCATGCCATTATGAATGTGATGGCTGGAAGAACATTACCCATAGCAGCTGCAAACGTCGCGGTAGTGTATTTCATCCCCAAGAAGTAGAGATTTTGGTCTATAATCGGCCTATCATTTAATTTTGAAAAAAATAAATAAATAAAAATTAAAATTAAAGAGAGCTCAAAAGTCGATTGTGAATTTAATTGACTAGACCGACGAAGATGGATTTCGATTACGGGAACTTACTCCAACAGACTTAGAAGCACAATCTTGGCAAATACAGAGGTAGTCATCTTTGGCCTAATTTTCCTGCATTGTAAACATTATCAATATAATACAATTAATTACTAGTGATTAAGATAATAATTACATAACATAAAAAACAAACACAAAATTAAAAAAAAATAACAGTGAGGAAAAAGGGAATGAGCTAGATTAAGTACTTCTCAAGAACTAAAGCGAAAGGGGCAATGAAAACGGTGGCGATGACGTGGCGGTAGACGACGAAGACGTAACTGCTCATCCCTTCGTTTAATGCTGCTTTACAAATGATGTCGAGACCGGCGACGCCAAGTTGAAGGAATATTACAGCCAAGAATGGCTTTGCCTTCACAAATAGAAGCTGTATATTCTCTCTTGAAACTTGGATCTTCTTCATCTTCTTGCTCCTATTTTGAATGCACCTATTTATCAAGAAAGCAATAATATAATAGTAACTTCTTAAATAATAAAAAAAAAAGTTATAATAATAAAAAAAAAATTATAGTTTTATAAATCTACAACACTTGATTAATGCATGCACAAGTACTCCACACGCAAAAAATTAAACACCAACAAAATCAAAGCGTATAACATAACTAATTCTGAAATGCCAGTAACAATCTTTCACCCTCATAGTTTAAAGATTATTACAAAATACTTTTAGTTAACATATTTTGTTTTAAGTGATTTTTTTTTTAATAATTATAATTTTATTTTTTTTATTTTTTTACCTAGATGGCTTCACTCCAATCTTTCCAGCTAGTCTTATTTTTCAAAATTCATATTTTTTATGGAATTTTTTTAGATGAATTATTTATTGTTTGATTATATATATGTGGAGTAGAGGTAACAAGTGGTGAATTGGAGCAGCCACGTGGCTCTGGATTTTATTGGGTTTTACATTAATTAGCTGAATTTTAATTTCATCCCACTAATAACAATGCTTCCAACTTATTTACTCTAAAGGCTAAAGCTACCAATGGCGATTGGCTGACAATATCTGTATATTGTCATATATTTTTTTGTACTCTGATTGGAGAAGGAGACGGCAGCGTTTTGAACGTAAATGCGTTTGCTTTAATTAGACAAATATGAGCTGGAAATACAATAATTGTGATTTTTGTACACAATGATTTATTCTTAATTTGGTTTTCACAGACCCTTTCATCTCCACTTCTTCCTTTCTTCTTTTCTTCTTTTCTTCTTTTTTTCCTTTCTTCTTCCTTCTTTCTTCTCCTTCGGTTTATTCTTTCTTCTCTATATGGCAACCACCACTTGGATTGGGTCACATGTGACCCAGATCCGTTCAATCCCAACCTTCTCCCTCAAGATTTGGTCACTTAAGACGACCATTTATGGAGATCCGGCCATTTTGAGCTGAAACCCGGTTCCCGGACTGGTTTCCGGGTTTCCCGGTTCATACCGGTCGAACCGGGTTTTTGATAATTGGCCCGGGTTTTTGAACTTTTTGGGTTTTTACATCTAACCGGACCGGACACGTCGGCGGTTCGCGGTTGAACCGGTCGGACCGGCCGGTCCGATCCGGTTTTCAAAACATTGGTAACAAGTGGTGAATTGGAGCAGCCACGTGGCTCTGGATTTTATTGGGTTTTACATTAATTAGCTGAATTTTAATTTCATCCCACTAATAACAATGCTTCCAACTTATTTACTCTAAAGGCTAAAGCTACCAATGGCGATTGGCTGACAATATCTGTATATTGTCATATATTTTTTTGTACTCTGATTGGAGAAGGAGACGGCAGCGTTTTGAACGTAAATGCGTTTGCTTTAATTAGACAAATATGAGCTGGAAATACAATAATTGTGATTTTTGTACACAATGATTTATTCTTAATTTTAACACTATGAAATCAACTGTATTAAACAATTTGTCACAACAGTTTTTTTTATTGTAGAATATTTTCAAGTATATACAAGTGTTCTTCAATCTTTCTGAAAACAGAGCACAACCACAAGCCCGTATATTACAATCGAAATCATGTATCGAGATTTCAACGAGTTGAACCCGGATAACCGCAGATTAAGCTTCATCTTTACAACAACAACATCACAGAGAACGAAAGGAAAGCCCGAAAAAAAAAAAAAGCAATGTTAATAAATTCAGCCAGACAGAGAGATCTGGAAATAGAACGCCACAATGTAAAATCGAAAAAATAATTAGAAGGGCAACAAAGACAAGGATATTCGTCATAGCAAAGACTAGTTGCTCGTCAAATTGGTCAATTTAAGGTATGTATCTTCAATGCAATGTGGGTGGGTTTGATCAAGAACCGATCAAGAACCGCAGCAAGCTGATTTCGGTGCATCTTGGGCAGCCCCTGCTGTCTGGTCAGGTTGGCTAATCTTTATGGTTTGAGGCTGCATTCAAACAACATAAAAATAAAAATAAATAAATAAAGGGAAAAGAAAAAACGCATAGGTCAGTATCTATATCGCATTCGCAAGGGGAAAAAAACCAAACACTTGTTGATACCTCGGCATGTGAGTCGGTTTCGGCAAGTCTTTGCTTTATGTCCCTTCCTATTGAGAAGAAAACCTCCTCCACGTTCATGTTTGTCTTAGCACTCTGTTCAAAAATATTTTATTTAGACAGACGATCACTCCATATGAAATCGAACATAGGTGTATAACAGGTCACTTACTGTCTCGAAGAATTTGATCCCATATTCATCGGCGAGTGCTTGACCCTTAGAGGTAGGAACAGCCTACAGAAGTTCGAGTAATGTACGTCATATGTGTGTGTGTGTGTGTGTGTGCGTGAGTGTGTGTGTGAGAGAGAGAGAGAGAGAGCATACCCTTCTGCTTTCATCCATGTCAGCCTTGTTGCCAACCAATATCTTATTCACACTGTCAGAGGCATGTTGCTCGATATTTCTAATCCAATTTCTGATGTCTACGAAGAGGATAAAGCCCATTTAGACTAAACAGAACACGGTATACCATAAATCATGATAAATAGTAACTCTATGATTAAAAGTTAATTGATACATGTGAGAAAACTTCAATGAACACAAAGGAGGAGATGAATCCAAACTTTCAAACAACGAAAGAAATCCATCAAAGATTGATCAAGACAATTAAAAAATAATAATAATCAAGAGCAATTACTGTTGAAAGATGACTCGTCCGTAACGTCGTACACCAGCAATATACCCATTGCTCCACGATAGTAAGCTGCGAAAGAAATATTTACTTAGGCAAGATGCAAACATTCAATAACGAAAAAAAGATGATTTTGCGAACCTAAAAGAAACAAGCAGCTGAATTCAGTACTAATGTCACTGCATCAGTGACATGCTTACCATTTGTGATGGTCCGAAATCGCTCTTGTCCAGCAGTATCCCATATTTGCAATTTAATTCTTTTTCCATCGAGCTCTACAGTCCTTATCTTGAAATCAATCCTGAATGAGAAAACAGTATCGAATAAGACAAGCAGAAGAATGTTCAAAATCCTAACTACTGTCTGTAAGGTCTCTATAATTGAATGTAACCAACCCAATGGTAGTAATGAAACTGGTGGTGAAAGAACCATCGGAAAATCGTAAAAGAAGGCAACTCTTACCCACACCTGAAGAAGAAATAAAAAAATATTGATCACTTCAACCCAGTCATGTAAAATGAATTACAGACAAACTACAAGAAACAAAGATAACATGCCAACAACGAGAGTAAAAAATAAATTATAAGCTCTTCCAGCCAACTAGAACAACTATTTCCGAAACACCATCAAGCTGACTTTTCGTTTTAGGGAAACATCTGAATCTAAAACCATGAGGGGGTCTATCGACATCCATTTACATCGACAGCATGGATACTCGGATTATACATGACTACACATATTTTATTCATTCTAAGTTAACATATAGTGCATAATAATAAATTCACATACCCTCAGTGATAACTTATATTAAACTGCATTTACTTTGACATATTTAGCCAACTCCCATTCACTAGTTCCACTCATATTCTTTTGCAAACCCCTAATAAATTGTAACCCAAATGAAATTCTCGATTATTCTGATCTCGGGTATTTAGTGATTAAGGTCTACGATACAGTCATACGTGCCCAAAAAACACATACATTAACTAGAATCTAAGATGGAGGCACATAGCCCAAGCTTAGTATAGATACATCAAATCATATCAAGTATTTCATTTTTCCTCATTTGGATATTATTCCCGAAGTTATCGGATATATCGCTATTATATGTAAACAGCGACATAAAATTTTGCCAGTAAATTCGAATTAAAAGAACACATAAAACATCATCAAATGTCAACCAAAAAAAATTCAAAACCAAATGATCGCTGAAGGACTCTAACTTCGAACCAAATGCAGCTGAAACGGTACCAAAATGCACAAGCTGATAAACTCAATTCATTATATCTAAATTCTAAAGGCAGGAAAACTTCAACCGGGAAAAAAAAATTCCGGCTTAAAACTACGAACCGCTGTCGCCGATCAAAAGGAGTTTGATGAGATAATCGTAATCAGCCCGAGCTCTAGCGGGTGGAGCAGCCATCTGATTTTGCTTTTTTTCTCAATTTTTTTGTTCTCCCTCAAAGTAAACCCTAGCAACAAATTCACGAAAAGCTCTTATTTACTGATGTTATTTTTATGATATATCGTAAAATTGAAATGAAAATCGGGGAATTGAAAAACAGTTGAAAGAATGGAATGAAATTCAGATATAGATTTAATACCAAACTGCAGGAAAGAGAGGAAAGAGGGATCTAATTAATGAAGATGAAGAAAAAAAGAGGAGGGAAGCAGCGTCTGTTGAACGTTAGCAGCGGTGGTTCGTTGAATTTTGTATTTTGTATTTTTTTATTTATTTAATTTAAATAATAACGAGTACAACTAAATTAGTTGAACTAATCAATGATAGAGTGGGACTAATTAAATGTTGTGTTTGAATAAGTCACATAAATAAATTAGTATGCCATTAGAAAAGAGAAGTATTCTCAAATTGTAGATGTTAGAATTTTTTTTTTATTAATTTTGAGTTTGTTCTATATCTTATGTTAGATAATCTTTTATTACATATTATATGCATGTATTTGTTGGAGTATAATTTTGTTAAAAGAATCTACAAACTCCTACTCCTTGTATACACAAAGAAAATGGAATGTAGACATAATTAAACAATTAGACTAATAGAGGAACCACCATAAAATTGAAGACATCATCAGATCGACATCCAATACATGAAGCTGTTTTTTCAGCTAGATTTAGCTTAAGTTTCACGCGTATAAATCCAAGTTGACGACAACCCCAATTGGTATTAGGCATTTGGCCCAACCCAGAAAGCTCTAAATCTTCTTTCTCACTGGTTAAGATGACTCGTAGTCACTCAACAGAGATTGAACTCAACCAAGAAAAACATATTCACATCAACTCTTCTTTTATCGCTGAGTAACCATCACTTACACTCTATCACTGAAGATGGAAGAAGAAAAACAGAAGAAGAGTGAACAATGTCTTAACCTCTCTCTCTCACTCTTATCCGTATCCGAATTAATGCTCTCCATGTACGGCGAAGACTATTGAAGTAAGTCGCCGGAAAACGATATGGGAGAGAGAGTAGAGAGGGGCAAAAAAAAATAGATAAATGAAATTAGAGTTTTAGGATTTAGCTTATAAAGCTCGAGATAGACGGCCAAGATGACTGTTTAAAATAAACGGTTCAAAATCGATAAAACCACTTAACTAGATTTAAGTTAGTTATTGGGCCGATTCCATAATTTGTGTGGTCGATTGTTAAGAATTTTGGGCTCAAGTTTCACAAAGAAAAAAAATCATATTGGGCCAAATACACAAACAATCATCGAACAAGAAATTTTAGTTTCCAACTATCTGCTTGTGAATCTGGGCCTAGTTGGCCCAATACCTGAGTTGGGATTCGGACCGGGATTTAATTTAGTCCAACTCAGTCGCACCGAGTCTTCCAATCGCCTAACCCAACCAATAACAGACGGCCACGTGTACAGAATCAATCGAGGACCTTCTTCCTATATGCCACATTTAATCATTTATTATTGCGAAAAAGAAGAAAGGAGAGAAACACGTATGAAAAAATTTCTTTTATCTTTCCTTTGATAATGCTCGTCTTTGTATGGCAAAAGTACGAAACAGTGGGCAACGCGTTACGTACCACTAAAACTAGCTCAGACTGAAAGCTTCCCTTTACTCTCACTCTCTCTAGGGTTTTTCTCTCTCTAAAACTCTTATTTCCTCTATTAAAATCAGTTATTACCTTCCTTCACATTTACGCTTTCTGTTCTGTTCTTCGAGATCTGAGTTTATCTTCATTTGCCCGCAGGCGCTTTCGTTGAGCTCTGTTCCTGCCTCCTTTCGTAATTTCAGGTACGCAGTTCGCTTGATTTAAACTTCATTTTCCTCGAGATCGGCGAATTTTATGCGGTAATCATCGGTAACTTTGGCTCTTCTGGTTTGTTTTGGTTTTGTGGTATGCATGAGTGTTACTTTAGTTGATATGGTGGACATGTTTTACTTGATTTTGATTCGGCGTATGTTAGATCGCTCAAAGTATGAACCGCTTCTATTGTGTTTTATCAATTGCAGAGGAATTTGTCTTCGTTTTTCATGGATATTGTTTTTTTTTTTAAACTGCATACTCTGTACAGAACACTAGAACTATTTATCGATTTACTATTGTACGAGTATATTGTTCGAGTATTCTGGCTTTCGTATATGATAAATATGTAACATACTGCATAGTGTTAGCTCTTACTTATATAGGCTGATTAATTGTAAATTTGAGTTTTAGATTGTGTCGCCTGTGAAGAATCCTGATAGTTTCAATTGAAAAAGTGTATAATTAACAACATTAGAAAGTAGAAGCACGAATGTCAATCACTTCAGAGGGATAGGGGATAGAATATAAATTTTCTTCGAGAAACTCTGCTATTGAAGATAATGGCTAGTCAATGGTCATGGATATCTGTTTACAACCATCAATATGTGTAAATCATGAAATTCTATGTTATAGAAGTCGTCTATACTAATTATTTTTGTGTTGTTTACTGAATTTATAACTTGCGACGCATGTATTGGATATATTTATTTTGAATATATGAGTTTCTAGACGTGTTCCTTTTTTCAAAAATTTTGTTTGTTTTTGTGGTGAAGTTGGGGCTGGGGTTTGTATTCCTGCCGATCTATGAGTTTGAGTGATTTTATTCTTACTCGACTGCTATAACTGATTTCCGTCATTAATGATGCTGCTGTTATGCTCTGTTTTGGTAGATTCGTCATTATCTCGTTATTTTTTAGTGTTTTCCGTTAGGCATAGTCAGCGTGAGTTTATAAGTTATAAACTCATCTAGAAGTTGTTTCTGCAAAATTTTTGCCTGGTTTTAGTGATTTTCCATTCGGCCAACTAGATGAAAATATTGATTTGTTGTGAGATTTTCAGAGATATTACAACAAATCGTGAAACAAAACAATGAATTTGTGAGTCTTACTCCTTTGTATTCTGTAGGAATGTAAAGCTGGTTTGTACTTTATTTTGTTCTGAATTCATGGATTTTTCATGCTAATAAACTTTGCACTTCATATAGGAAACAATCTAAAAGACTCAATTGACACATTCATATTGACTCGGTTGATACTTTAGCAAGGGTTGCATACATTGTTTCATTGATACATTATGCTAGAAATATAGTCCCATTTCCGTTGTTGTCCATTTCATAATGATTTCAGTATCTTTTTAGGCATAGGTTCTGTCAAACTTCACTTCACCTATAGATGTCATAACTTAATTGTAGATGTATGAATGAAGTCTCCTGAACAGAAACCGGTTTTTTTTTATTTTATCCAGTTAGAAACAATTTCTAAAGTAGAAATATTTGATATTTGTTACTTTATGGCTTCATTTTTATTTATCCAAAATTGCAACAGAAGCTTATGTTTATTGATGTTCAGATTTGCTGCCAGCAAGCTATGGCGTCACATACTGAGACATCAAGACAACATCCTCGTCTTAATGAAAGGATACTCTCTTCCATGTCCAGGAAAACTGTTGCAGCTCATCCTTGGCATGATGTTGAGATAGGTATAGATCAATACTACTGTCATGTTCACTTATCAAATAGCATTCTCACATTTAATCTTTTATTTTCCTATGCAGGACCCGGAGCACCAAGAATCTTCAATTGTGTAAGGATATATTATTTCGTCTAGTCTTTTCATTTCTTGTACAATTTCAAATAGTGATGGTTTCACATGTTAATTGAACGCTGAAGTGAAATTTTGCCAATTGCTCTATTTTACCCCAAGTAACTTGAATTTTTTCTAATCTATCAGAAATGATTTGTCATATAACATTGCATTGAATTGTATTCATAAGACACATTAAGCTGTTTGTCTTAGAATGCAACAATTTGAGTCAAAGAACACATTTGATAATGTGCATCCAGCTTTTATTTTTTGTAACTTTTTTTATTTGCAGTTTATTCAATAAGTAATAGCTCCACACGAATGTGTTCAACAAGGCCTTGCCCTTCCACTCAGTTGCTGACTATATGACTGTTTATTAACTCTTTTCTTTTTTCAGTCAGACTATTTATGATCAACCCTTTTATTTCTCTAAAGCTATATTTCCACTTCTATATTCATGTCATCTTGTTGAACTTTTTACTAGCTTATTTTCACTCGATGTCTCACTTCTGATTGGTACTTTTATCTATTCCCATGTATTTTTATTTCCATTTTTACATAATTCTGTTCTTCCCCATCTTGTATGACTGCGTGGACAGATGGATATAATTGCTCTGTTTACAATGAACTAGACTGAATATGTATTCTTAGGAACGGAAATTTACTTTCATTTACTCAACCTGACCATATGAACATGTGAGCTGAGCAATATATAGCTTTAAGATTGTTTTTTTTCCCATGAATATTTGGTTTGCTTTGTTTATGGTGCTTTCCAAAACTAACTAGCGTGACTTCTGCAGGTGGTTGAGATAAGTAAGGGAAGTAAGGTGAAGTATGAACTTGACAAGGAATCTGGTCTAATCAAGGTATTAAGCATATTCTTTGTAAAAAAAATTGTTGGTTATAAACGTCCACACAGCTTTATTTTGGCCATGGTTAAATAGTAAATAATGCGAATGCAGGTTGACCGTGTTCTCTACTCATCTGTTGTGTACCCCCACAATTATGGTTTCATACCACGTACAGTCTGTGAAGACAAGGATCCGATAGATGTATTGGTCATTATGCAGGTACAATGTTCTGTCTGGAACTTGTTAACAATACTTCAGTCACTTGTACATTCTAAACTTTTAGTGCTGGGATCCATATAGCTAAAATGTGCAATAGCTTACAGCATGTGGTTGTTAAATTAAACTGCAGTACATATATGCTTAAAGTTATGGGAGTTGAGCTTCGCTCTAAATTTCGGACCAATATCCCCTTTTCTTTTCTTTTCTCTTTTTTTTCTGAAAGAACTTCAGACCAATATCATGTTTACAAGTTTTTAGGCTTTTCTAAAACAATATCTCTGGTAAAAGTTTTTTGCTTGCCACTTATCTATCTCCACAAACATATCAGGAACCAGTTCTTCCAGGCTGCTTACTCAGGGCTAAAGCGATAGGCCTCATGCCCATGATTGATCAGGTATATAGTACACTACTATCACTTTCATTTTACAACTTAGAAAAGTTAGTTAATTTGTTTTCGTCGACAGGGAGAGAAAGATGACAAGATCATTGCTGTATGCGCTGACGATCCTGAATATCGCGACATTAATGACATTAAAGAACTTCCACCCCATCGCTTGGCTGAAATCCGCCGTTTTTTTGAAGATTGTATCCTTTTGAAAAAACTATTGAAATATCGGATATTGTGATTTACGGGAATTTTAATGTGCATTTTTCTTGTATACTGGTTCTATTTTTGTGTTTCCTTGACCATCAAACAGACAAGAAAAATGAGAATAAGGAAGTTGCAGTTGACGACTTTCTTCCAGCTGAAAAGGCATATGAAGCAATCAAGGGCTCCATGTAAGTCATATTCCTTCTCCGAATAAATAAAACTCTTGTAGTATTCTGTTAAAACTTTCTGAAACAGCAAATGTTGGCTCTTTTTGTAGAGAGGAATATGCAAAATTTAACTGATCCGGAGCAATGTTTGTCAGCTCAGTAAATATAAGGCTGCATGTTGTCATAGAGAATAGCAAACCAAAAATTCTAGCATAACTTTGTTGCACCGAAAATCAAAGTTTTACAAACATTTCATGCAACTGTAAACTTTATCTTGGGTAGACTTTCAAGTTTTTCTATTTTACTGGATTATCTTTTTTTTTTTTATTAGTTTTTTTATGGAGATAGGAAGGATGCTAATTACTGTTCTTTAATAGCTTGGAGATGATTGAAATTTCATAGTCGACATATTTGTTCACTTCGCCACTCCTTTAAGGACCTTAGAAATTCGAAACCCGTGATCCTTTTCACCCGGAAAATAATTTTATCTGTTGGTGTTTCTTGTATTCTTAAATGAAGACTTAAATAATTCTTGATAGATATCTTATTAAGGGATTTAAACATACTGTTTTACTATGGTGCAGGGACCTGTATGGGGAATATATCGTGGAGATCCTAAGACGTTAGTCTGATCGTCGGTTGTAGGGAATGATGGTGTTTTTGAGCTGTGCACAACATTCATATACTAATACTTCTACTACCTTATAAACTTCTTCAATACAGTATTAAGATGACGATGAAAAACTTAAACACCTCTTCTTTACTAGGTGATTGCTTATACGTTTCCACAAAAGACGGTAAATCCAAAATTTACCTGCTGTGTAAAAATGTGGTTGTTTCCTAGCTAACTAATACTTCTCAAAATATAAATTCCTCGGTTAAAAATCTGATTAGTTGTTACAATTGCTTTGTGGCAACTGCAATTTCATCTGGATTGAAGTTTTTTTTTTTTTTTTTCTTTCTTTCGGTAAACCGTCTTTCGTAGGATCTGCTTATTACATCTTGATTTAGGCGGTTAACCAAATTTAAGGCCTTGCAGATTCCTTGTAGTGTCTAAGAGTTTGAAGTGGTAATGTTTATTATGAAACATTCATTTGGTTATTTGACATTACCGGATAGTTTAGAAACACGAAAAGTCGAAAACCCGAGCATGTGATTTTTTTCTTCTCATGTTTATTTCGTTACACTTCTACATAATATGCATCACCCGAATTCAAACCGAAGGTTCCATCAGCTAGCAGAAAAATCAAAACCTTCATTGTCCAGTTTGCAATTTAGAAAATAAATTAATTAAAAAACCAAAAAGAATAAAAAAATAAAATAACAAAAATAAAAACTGATTAATTAAGGATCCAATTAAATATCCAGGAAGTTGGCCCAGTCCAGTAAAAAAAGGCCTTATTAAACCCAACTCAGTGAAACTCACATCTGCGATTGCTTCTAAAACATCTCTTCCGAGTCTGCTTTCCTCATTCAGCAAAACCCTCCCAAAACCCCGGCGAGCAAGCAACCCAATAACCAACGATGAGCCGCCGCAGAGGTTCATCCTCCTCCACCGCCACTCCCCAATTCGACAACCTCCTCCTCCAATCACTAATGCCCCGCCTCGAACTCCGCCCCCGCAACCTCCTCCCGCTCTCCGCCGCCGCCGAATCACTCGACGACCTCTGCCTCTCCATGTTCCTGAACGAATCCGACTCCGATTCAGAATACGAAACCTCTTCGAAGACCTACCTTGCTAAAGAAGAATCGAAGCTCGAGAAAGAAATCGTTCGCACTATCCTTAGTGGCGAGATCGAGAAACTGAAACCTAATTCCGGCCAGGCTATTACAATTGGGGAGCATCATATCTGCGTCGGGTTTCATGAAGAAACCGGGTCGACTTACCGGGTTTGGGAGTGGCACGGGCATTTTGTATTGGTCGACGAGGAGAATGGGTACGATCTGGAGTATATTTACGGGAACTATTTCGAGAGGATTGGTACAGCAAAGAGGGAAATCAGTAGGGTGATGCCGAAGAAAGACAACGATCGTGAAAAGGAAATCGAAGAGGATAAAGTTGGATTGCAAGAGCTGTTTGAATGTGGTGGATCAGGCAGCGGGCGAGGGCGAATTCTTCATCGAAGTACTGCTCCTTCAAATTCCGGGTTTATATAACACCAAAAAACCTTTCACTTTTCTAAATACTTGTTTTTATCATCATTGACATTTTTTATGCTGTGGAATTGTAGAGGTTTTCTGATTTTTTATTATTAACTTTGCAGATGATGAATCTTTTTATGATCCTCACATTTTGAGTATGCAGCTTATGAAATTTAAGTTTACATATTCGTTTATATGCGACGATGTATTTGATGGCAATCGATAAGTCTTCTCTCTCATGAATCCATGAGAGACATTGAGATCACTTATATATAGAACAGCCATGAAAAAAATTCAATTTAATTATTTGCTATATAGACGACCCCCCAAACCCTTATTGACCTCTTTACTTTGGCATTGTGTCTTCTTGGCATATTATATATGACTATTCCGTTATGTTTATTTCCTCAGTAATCGCAGGTGCTAAGTTATTAGAAAGCAAGATCTTGAAATACAAGATACCTCATTCGTAAATTCCTTTGTATATTATCTTACAGTGTATTTTGGCTTTGCTGCTTGACGATATTCGACATTTCTTTGGATTGTTTTCTTTTTTCTCCATACCTCCGAGAAACTGCATAATTCACTACTTCATTAGCAAAAGATGCCATTTTACCGGTTCAATCATCTTTGTTTCCCGTTTTAGTTACTTTTCGAATTTACATTTCTACATGCAATAGATATACAAATAACTAATTCCGGTTATTAAAACTAAGCAGCAATAGTTTTTTCAATTTAATTCAAAATGAAGACAACTCTAATAAAGAAAAACAGTCAAACAAGTAGTACAAAGGGATTAATCCAGTTATAAACAACAGCCTTTTTTCCCTACATACTCTAACATCAACATCCCAATTACATACACAAGAACTCAAACTCCTGCACAACAACAAATCCCTTTGGACACTCTAAACAAACTTATGATTTAAGCCTTCTTAGGAGACTTTGTCGCCTTTGCCGGGGATTTGGGGGATTTCTCTGCAGCAGCAGCCTTTTCGGATTTCTTAGGAAGAAGAACAGGGTTGATGTTTGGTATCACTCCACCATGTGCAATTGTTACACCAGCAAGAAGCTTACCCAGCTCTTCGTCGTTCCTCACAGCAAGTAGCAAATGCCTTGGAATAATTCTGTTCTTCTTGTTGTCTCTTGCAGCATTTCCAGCCAATTCAAGAACCTGGGGGTTGAGAATTAGGTATAATGATTTTAGTAATTTTTACAATTTGGAAACAATTGGGGCAATTAATGTAGATCTAGCAAACTGCAAAAAAAAAAAATTTGGAAACCCTAATTTTAAAAACCTAATCACAGAAACACAAAAGTCAAATCAGTAGAAAACCAGCTCAATCAAAAACGACGCATTAGCTACTTCTATTTTTTGATACTAAGCTAGTAATTCTGAAAAAAATAAAAAATAAAAAATAAATTGAAATCGATTGGATTTAAATTCTAAACATCAAAAGGAGCTTCGAAAATGAAAATACACGAAAAGGATCTAGGATTGAAATCAGAGAGAAGGAACTGTACCTCAGCTGCGAGGTACTCGAGAACAGCAGCCATGTAAACTGGAGCACCGGATCCGACTCGCTGAGAATACCGTCCCTTCTTCAAATACCGACCGATTCTACCGACGGGGAACTGCAGGCCGGCTTTCATTGACCGGGAAACCGGTTTCTTCTTCGGACCGGTTCCCTTCCTTCCAGCAGCACCTTTCTTCATTTTTCCGCCTGTTTCCATTTCTCTCTGCTACAAAAAGGGTTTGATAAGAAGAATCAGATTCTGAGCTAGAGAGAGAAGTTGTAATAGTGCGTGTTGATTTGTGAAGGTGGTGCTGCTATTAAATAAGTGGGGGGTTTGAGTTGGTGTTGAAATGATGAAGAATTTGGAGCGTTGGATCGGATTTTATCGACGGTTGTGACTGTAAATGAAGGCAATCCGCGTGCTTTGTATTTGGACCAATCAGGTCGTGGCATTTACGAATATTGGCTTTTGTAAGAAACACATTTTGTGAACTGTGTACACTACTTTGTGTTGCAAAATGTTTTAATTTTTTTAATTTTTAGGCCTTTAGTTTGTGTTCTTGGCTGCCCTTTTATTCTTTTTTAACTAGTAATTGATTATTTTAATTTGGTTATCGAAATATTTTTATTTTCTTTGAAAATATGTTGGTTTGAACTTTGATGTACAATCACTAAATTACCAAAATAGAATATTAATACTATTGATTATAACATGGAAAATTAAAATCAATAGAAACAATGGGCTATATATGCAATAGTAGTAACAAATGGTTAAACAAAATTTCACATTACATTTAAATATCTATAAATTAGGGACTAGCAAAATTCTATTAATTTAGCAAAATATTATATTATCAAACTAATAATTTAGTACGTTTTTACCAAGTCCGGACTAGAAGAAATTATTATTTAAACGAGGTAATTAATTTATGGAGGTTTCACCATATTAGTAAACAATTACCCGAGAGTGTCTTTTCGAGTAAATCCAACGCAAAATATTTTCTAACCACTGAAAAATCGAAGAAATCAGCCGGACCACCCAATGGTTTTGTTTGAGGTGAAAGAAGCAGGCTCAGTAGAGAGTGGGTTTCGTAGGTCTTGCCTAGGAGGAGGTGGACGAGGCTGATAAGCTTCCTTTGGCCTAGCTGGGTCGACAAAAATTACCCAACCATCGAGGTATTTGGCGTTCATTCCATCACGTGCCTTTTCAGCTTCTTCCACTGTTTCGTATGTCACAAACCCAAAATTTTTCGATCTCCCTGACCCTCTATCAACTATCACTTTTGCTGCATTACTCAAAAATTGAATAAGTTAAAAAGTTGAATCTTTGTGAATATACAAGTCGACTGAAATAAAGGCACTGTGACATGAAAAAATAGAGGCGCGATTGTTTTACCCTCGAGAAGCCTGCCAAACGGGGTGAATGCGTTGTAAAGACTTTCGTCACTTGTGTTTCGTGAAAGACCTGGATAAAAGATAATCAAGGTAATCGTAACTCAGCCTTAGATATATATTCTTGAAAGATAAGCAGTATCAACAATATTCTTCTTTAGTCTTTTTTCTCTTTCATTTTTCGTAACAGCAAATCACAGTGTTAACATAGGTCAAACAAATATGGAAGTATTGCAAACCTTTACATTGATATAGCTATGTAGAGACATATAAACCAGAAAGGAGATGAATGAATACTTGTTTTCTACAATATATGCCCCCCTAACTTGATAAAACACCAATGGGATGAAGTGATACACGGCATATTAATTGTTTTAAAAAATGTTAACAAGTGCTCAGTCGATTAAGTACAACTTCTACGAAACCTCTTCTTAACTCCCAACTTCAATTATCTTATGTAAATTTATTTTGTTCATTTTATTTCAAGTCATCTCAAAATCAAACATAAACTTCATACGATGAACCTACCTAAGATAGAAGCCTGTAAGCTGTAGTTATCCAAATGGACAGAAATGTCGTTTTTCACTCTTGAGCCACACATTTGTACATTAAGAGCTAGCTAAATGACATACATGAAGCCTCAACTCATGCAAGTATATCTACTCAAAATCATGATAAAACTCTACTTTACGATGTCACTTATTCTTCAATACACAAATGCAAGATTCAAGGCTCGGCAACACAAAGACAAACAAAAGGCTCTCCAACGCTAACACATGAACATCAAAACAGTTTGGTGCAAAATAACGACTCAATGATCCTTCAATCAAAGAAACCGGTTTAGTTTCTCTACTATAAAGCATAAACATGTCTTAATAGTCAAAGCACAAATAGGAAGATATACTAATCAATACTAAAAACATATGCAAATGCACTATTCACTAATTCTAAGATACGAAATTCATGAATCGCGCTCTATATTTATATTCACCATCCCTGTTAGTCAGAAAATCCGTGACGAAGCAAAAATAAATTGAATGGATAATTGCAACACATGACGAGGTGTATAACCCAAAAAATCAATAAAAAGGTGTAGGTTTCCAAACCAAACGGACATCCAGAAACAATGAAGAAATACAAAATTCGCTACAGTCTATTATAAGAACGACGATTAAAATAAATTGGTTACCACTGATGAAGAGCTTAGGGCTGGTGAGCGTAACAAGAGTTGAACTGAAGCGAAAAGAAGCCAGCTGCGAGCGAATATTCGGCGATTGCGTCGAAGATCCGCTCAATATGCGTCGAAAAGCGGAAGCAAACGCCATTGTTGGATTGATAAAGAAATCAGTGAAAGATGAAGTCCTGAAATTCGAATTTTGGGGGTTTAAGGTAGAAGAGTGACAGTTAGAAACCCTAGTTAGTAAGAAGCTCGAACCTGGTTAAGTAACAGCACTGACATTTAAGACTCGTGTTTTCTCTCTCTCACTTTTATACTAGAAACGTCTCAAGGATGTTCTTTGATTTAGGGTAAAATTACACTTACACCCCTAATGGATCCTAAAATAAATTTAAAGTCCCTATAGTATCGGTAATACAGTCACACCCCTGAAGCACTTAGCGGAGCCAATATTTCATGTCATGGGAACCGATGTGCACTATATTTGTTTCCCCACGGAGCCGTTAATCCTACCATAGACGAAAATTAATAAATCTTATATAAAATAATTAAGATTTAAGAAATAAGAACCATGTCACCTCTTAGCTCTATATTGTCTCTACCATTGTCTGAAACTAATAGTCCGTTAGAAACATAACGGAATAACTTATCCATCCATTGAGTTTTTAACAATGTTTCAAGATGGGTGATTGTAATTACCGATACTACATGGACATTAAAGTTATTTTTGTATACCTCAAGGGTGTATGTGTCATTTACCCCTTGAATTATTATCTCATTTGTATAAATCAAGTTCAATGATTTTTTTGTTATATTTTAATTATTAAAAAAAAAAACCGGGAAATTCCCTGAAAGTATATCTGACATTATTTAAATTACAAACACTCACTGAAATCTATTACTAATTCACAAACTGTAAAATAATTGTTGTGAAAAGAAAAACCTTAAGCAAATTCCTCAATGAAGAAGATATAATAGCTACGTTGTAATGTACGTATCAAAATAAAACGAAAACATTCTAGTGTACGTACGTACGTCCTACAAACTAATCACCCTGTGAAAAAAGAAGCTCGTTGTGCATGCAAATTAAAAGAGCAGCATGCCTGGAGAATTTGGGGATGTATTATTTCACTATTCTTGTCCCTCTATTTTACTAATGAAGCCAGCTTAGAGTCTTGATCTTCCGCGAAATGCCAACTTTGCCCCCGTCCTTGCTTTAAATTACAGCTCCACCTTGTTTTCCGACATCAGATATCCATTGCGCAAAGTGGGGCTGTCAAGTGACAATCAATCAAGGGATGTAACTGTATCTGACTCTGGTCCTCCACCACCACATTCAGAGATTTCTCGGCCTGCTACTGTAATACTTCTTTTTCTAACAAGGATGTCCCGTTGAAAATTGTTAGCTGGAAATCCCTTGTGTACCTTAGCATCTGCTTGGGCAAAATATCGATTCATCAGCAAACACATTTACGATCTAAGAAATGGAACTAAGTTTCATCTTTATTTAGATACAACAGGAATAAGATAACCTCTTCTCGTTTTAATAAGTAACTGTTCCGGTTTCTTAATTTTACATTGGATTCTCCAAACACATTTGGCTCGATATCAAAATTAACATGAAAATTAAAATAAACAAAGGAAAGGAAAAAAAAAATTGTTTCATGCTCGTCGGTAACAAGAAAACACTATTTTCTCAAGAAATTCATGCACTCGAAGCCCAGATATTTCTCTTTTCACGCTTTACTCTTACAATTACATTACTTAGCTAAACATATTATAAAACAGAATTAGGTGGTTCCACTGGAGACTAAATTACCGAACATAGGTTGGAGGACTTACTTGTTCATTGCTCATCTTCCTGAAGCCTAGCTTATTTGTCCACATAGGTTCAGCTTCTTCAGCAGCTGGGAGTACCAGGTGTTTCACACTCATGGACGACAGAAGCCTTTCGATGCAGGAAAAAAGTGCTCGAAAATAGCCCTACATATATCAGTTTTTCATACTAGTTAATTAAAATCGTTACCGCTTTGTAATTAAATTTTGATTGTTCCGTAATAGTAAAATATTTTCTAGCGAAGAGACAGTCACTATCTTTTCCTATGTTCCGTTACCTTTCCTTGATTTTCTCTATCAGTAGCCACCAAAGGAAGTTCAGCAATGTCTCTTCCAAATATCCTCAGAAGAGCAGCTGATATAACAACGGACCTGCAAACAACTGGCGTTAAAAGAGTACGATTTGTAACAATACCATACACTTCAAATACAGAAGCAAAAGGAAGAAAAAATAACCAGGACAGTCTCAATCGACTTACTTTACAGTTAAAACCACACAGTACATCCCACCAAAATCTTGCCCAGATATGTTCCTTCTGCAAAGGAGTTAGAAATATATTTAATGGTGTATGAGAATGAAGCAATGAGGCATTTATTCGCCATTTAACTGTCGAAATGGTTATATGTGAGATATGAAATGTTACACAATAAAATTGTTACAGAGTAACAGATACACCAACACTTGTTCCTAATTCTCCACTTGACTTTCACGTCAAGATAGAGTATTCAATTTATCACCAGTTAAATATTCACTGGTCTTTCCAACTCACCTTTAAATAACAAGAGCCACATTTGTTAGACAAAGCATATCTTAAAAATCTATAAGCTCCTAAATTTTATACCATTTTGTAGCGAGAATTACCAAAATCAAAGAAGTTTGTTGAAGATCTTAAAAACACGATATCAATTTAGGAATAAGTTCTCTCTTTAGTCTTTACTTTTTAAAAATAATTACTACGTTCTCAAACAACTTTTTTCTGCATCTTATAAACCTTACAAATTCATTTAAGAAGAAAAAAATCACGCTTTTCGAAAGCTTATAAGTTATAGGATGATGCTGATGTTATCCATGCTTGTAAAAACCTCTATCTGAGACTTAAAAAATAACCTTAAACTTAAGCTGGTGTAGCCACCAGATTACTGACAAAGAATTATTCAGCTAAAACATACAAAAGAGAAGAATTACTCACCCATACACCATAACTGGGATAAGATCACGACCAGATTTGGCAACAATAGGGTCAAAGCATCCCTACAAAAACGACAAAAATAGAAATTAGTATATTCTCCAAAAGGACAAGAAGGCACTGCCAGTATAGCATATCACTGGATGGTGTAAGCCAGTTAAATGCGCTCGACAGCACATGTTCACAATTCACATCCTTTAGTGGTTCTGCCACATAGATAGTTATTGAGGCTGATAAATGTTCAAATTTTCATCTGTCCTAGTACCGAATTTTATCTTACTATAGCACCTGTTGTGGTGAACATAATTATAAGAAATGCATTCCTTAATGACTTCTATTTCTCACTTCATCACAAATAATTAATAAGTCAGACAAGACTTCAGACTGACAAAGGTCTGTTATGTAGTGGGTGCCAAAAAGCAATTGAAGTTTGCAAAGTTGGTGAATGCAGGACCACAAATATTCCACGTGAAACCCGTCTAACAAAAGAAGCACAGTTAGAAGTAAAAGCTTACGCGAAAGATTGCTGCAGCACGAGAAAGTAGCAACAAATGTTCGGCATAGTGACTTTTTCCATTTACAATACGCCACTCGATCTCATTCTCAGACCAACTATTTAAACTTATTGCTGCATGCTTCTTGTATACAGTAGTTACCACTGAAGCTGGAATTAACTCAGGTCCACTGCAAGCCAAATTCTGAAGTGCTTCAAAAATCTTATAGCAGTCATCACAACAAAACCATTTATCCTCAGGAAGTTCCTGCAACCATATGCATTTAAAATCCTTTAATAACAGAAATGTCAAACACTCCTGCTACTAGTGATACTATAATAATTTCAGACTTACTTTCAGATCACACAACCCAGACTCACGCAGACAACCAACATGATATTCCTTCTCGCACTAGACAAGGAAGACAAAGTGTCAAGATCAAAAATGTTAATACACTAAAAACATGCAAACCAGTAAAGAAAAACCAGAAATGAGGGCAGTAAGCAAGTAAGTACCTGATCACAGATAATCACTGTGAGGTCATCAAACTTCACAGCACTAAAGGCCTGCGATCTGCAAAACATAAGAAGAGAAAATCAGTTAATAAAGCAAAAGTTACATAAGCATAAACTTCTCACAATCAGAGGATATGTCATATATACAATGTGCGTACATGTCTGAAGTATAAAACATGTAAACCAATGATGATAATAGATTTGCAGCACAATAAAGATAGATATGTTCGATGAGGCAATTCGTATAATCAGATCATTTGTCAACATCGACTACCAATCTCATTTGCAGTATCCACCCAAAAAGGTTATGCTTACATGCCTACTTTCTGTACTCCTCCCAAAAAGTGAGAAATGAAATGAACTTTAAAAAAAAGGAGTAAATGAAAAGAGCACAAAATGACAGGCAGTAAATGAACTAACTACAAGTGCTACAGCAGACCTGCAGATAATACAGCCACCAGGTTCAAATTCTGGTGCTTTAACAACTCTCTTTAGCCTAAGGATGATATGTCTAGACTCCCCAGATGCTTTTCTACCAGAACCAAATTTGTCTCTGCAGTATGAACAGTGCCAATCATCGGCAGGGAGACACTGTAAGCCTAAACAAGCTGCAAGAGTAACATAGAAAATCAAACACAATAAGGTCGAACTAATTCACAAGTGCTTCTGAAATACAAATACGATGTCCTTGGTTTATAAGCGCGGAAACGAAATGTAAAGAAGTGGCAGTACAAAGGCAAATACAAGAAGTGGAGTTGTCACGTATATACCAATTGAACGGAACACACACAAAAACATTCAAAAGACAAGGTCAGCACTGACCAATACGTCTTTACCTGTCCCGTGGAATTAAAATCTATAATTCAAATCATTTGCAATCACTTCATACGTATATAAAACATGAAGGTAGGCATCCCAATCAATAACAGGAATAATAGAGCCCAAGTTTAACAAGATAACAAAGAGGTCCAGAACAGTCAGATGTTAACAATACAAAAAACATACAATGAAAGCAGGAAGAAATTATTATATGGAGAATATGAAATTCACCTGCATGAAATGCTCGAGGGCAGCCATTGCATATAATAAGTTCACCTCTATCTCCGCATACAGCACACATATCATCACTGCCACTGGCGGCAAGACTTTGTCCATTTGCCAACATTAAAGCTATATCATGAAGTGTCAACCCACTAGATGTATATATATGACGATAGCTGCAAAACAACCCCAAATTATATTGCTTGGAGTCACCAGAATATGAAGTAAACTTAGTAGTCCTCAATAGATACTCACGGTTGACGTTTCGCTGCCCATCCAGCATGAGCCTCAAACTGGGAAGGACTGATCTGTTTGGGAGAAAAAATGAGAGCATGCGACAGGTGAGAACATTTATGAGGCAGGAAACAGAGGCACAGGTATGCAGTTTTTCAATTCATAATGCAGAAACTCTAACGCTGATAAATGAACTTACCTCTGTGTTACAACAACTACAGACTATACCGTTCCCCTGCTTGTAACCCCCAAGAATCATCTATAAAAAGAAAAAAATGGCCAAAAGTTATCCACAGAAACAACCAATAGACAATGAGAAATTTAAGCCACAGACTGACACACTACCTTTCCTTTAGAATAATAGGCCAAACTTGTCCCATCAGGCAGTCCATTTGGCATGAAAAGTGATTTATGAAGATCATTGTCCCTGTCATACGTTTACTCATTAATATTCCCAGTAGACCATAGAAGAGACGAGACCCAAAAAAGGAAGGACAAGAAAATTAGAAAAATTACACAATCACTACAGGCTTGCCTCTTTTTATTGCCACCTTCAGCAGCTTTCTTTTGTTCCCAAAATGAGCTAGAAACATTTTGCTTCGGCCTGCACAAAAAATGCATATTGAGCAAAACCTACACATAAGTGCATTTACATGAGAGGGACGGAAGGGAATAAAACAAACTTCTTGATCAGACGCTTCCGATCTACTTGCGTGTCTATACAGATTTGTCGACATGAAGCAGGGCACGGGTTATCTTCAGTAGGATGACTGCCATAGCTGAAAGTTCGTAATAGAAAATGAGTGAGAAATCAAAAGATCCACCAAGCTCGTCAAATAAGAATTTTATATAGCACAGCAACAAAACAGCTACCAACTTTGCAACTGATCGGAATAGTCTTGACTAACTCAAGACATCTGAGAATTGGTGATTGCTCTAAAGAAATCTCAGATATGCAATCAAAACCACCAAAATTTCCCCTCGTGACTCAGCTTGTGTTTTGAAAGTGTGAAGTGCTGGCTTTCAATATCAGTTTTTAGCTGATTTAACAAGTTCACTTCTTTGCTTTTCAAATGAACTGGATCCAAAGAGTTAAGGAAGAACCCCTACACACTCGTTTATTCCTATTTTTTTCCAATTCTCTTTACAAATTAAGTGGAACTAATACCCACGGAAGGGCGAAGGGCATATCTGATAATTTTATACGCATAGCATTACCTGTTGGTGGGGTGATATGTGCTAAAATGCTTGCTTTGGTATAAACTATCTGCACGGGCCACGTCATTTCCATATTGGAGATTTGCTGCAACAGTTCAACAAATTGTCAGAAACTAATGTTAGCAAACAGAGAATATGATGCATTTTTTATGCTTTTATCCTTTATAACTAAAGCCCTGATATTCAGATCAAAGTATTTTGTCATCACTCAGCATCACAAAGAGAGGAAGCTGACTTTAACATATGAGAATATTACCAATTGGCTATCATCTATATGAATTATTTATTTTTCCTTTTTTTTTTTGAAAATTTGCATAGGAACGTGTCTGCCATATCCATTAGATCGCAACAAAAGCGTGTATATCAATTTAACCATGCAATATCCAGGGACTTGCAGTGAGATAATACCCTTCCTGGAAAGACCTAACAAGTTTCTGAAATGGGCCCTTGGAATCCTAAATCGTTTCTTATAGCCATCATACTCAATTTCAGTACAAACTAGAGACAAAAGGCAACTGCATTCACATATTACCTCTCCACACCTGGAAGTACTCCTCGTTCACAGAAGAACCTGCCACAGCTTTTAAGACGCCATCTATTATGCTGAGAGGAGCAGTCCTCAGTTCTTGAATTATATTGTAAATAGGCTTCCCGTTCTCCAAATATATATGATGATTCGGGTGCCTAGTCTTGGCACCAGCATGGTGTTCAAACTCATACGCACTAACCACCTGGTTAACAAATTTACAATGTTTAACTATCAAACACCTGACTAAAGTGAGCAATTCAACTTGCAAATGTAACTTACTTTAGAGAAGTTGCAAACACAACAACCACATAGGTAACCACCATCCTTGATGATTCCTGGAATCTCTTTCTGGCAATCATTAAGAAACCAAATTTAACGCCATACTAGAAAAAGACTCTAATGATCAAAACGAAATCAGTAATAATGCAAAAAAAACACAACATACACACCATGCCTGATAATGAAATATACTTCACCCTGGCTCCTTCCAAAATTCCAGTTGACAAAAGCTTTTTTACATTTGTAGGGTAAGTATCTGGAACTATTTTCTTGGACATTTTCAGTTCCCTGTTGGGGACACATGCGGAAGGACTTTGCGCGAAATGATTCAATTCCGAGTTTCCTAAAGCCCACCCGTGATTTTGAAGGCCATTATTGGTTAAACATTCAGTAGCAGTCACAGATAATTGATTATCATTAACCTCCTTCCGTTTACTAAACTTAAATGTGATCTTCCTAATACCCGTGGGCCTAACATTCTTTGGAATTTCAAGCACCACACAAGATGGTGAAACCGATTCCAATTTGCAATTATTGTGCTCTTCCTCACTGAAATTCACATCAGCAGATGAACCCTGGGAACAAGCAGATGTAATCTCTCCACAACCAACATGATCACCACGTGCATCAAGTGGTTGACTGCAAAGGGTCAAATTTGAGGTAACATGCTGCGGGGAAAGATTTGGATTTGAAACTTCAGAGTGTGTATCATCATTAGCTGGCTCTTTCACTTGGTTTTTAGGCGGACAATCCAAGCCAAAATCACTAACCACTTCTTTCACCTCATTGCTACTAGATAATACCTCGAAGTTATCATTGCTCAACATTTTCACTGCATGATTTTCCGCAAGTGGTTTCATTTCAGTGTCATTTACTACTTCCTTTGGCTCGGCTTCTGCGTCATTTTGTACTTCCTTCGCTATTTTCTCCATGCAATGCTCTTCCGATGCTTCTTTGTGATTATCGGTAATGGATTCTACCTCCGCACTACTCAAAGCTTCCTGTGCATAAGTTTCAGTGCAAGGTTCTGACTCCACACAGTCCTCGGCTTCTTTCAACTTAATTTCGGTGACAAATTCTGATTCAGCAACATCAACATCATTTTCCATGTGGCTTTCAAGACAAGGATGTGGTTCAACGTTGTTCGAGACTTCCTTCTTATCACTGCCAGCACAGCAGTTTGATTCCACGTTACCCACTGCCCCATTCATTACCTGCACCGACATACAACACTCTGTATCATTCCCAACATCCATAGCCTCGGTTTCTGCACAACGTCTCACTTCAGTATCGTCACACTGTTCTTTTGCTGCCTCCTCCACCCATGACTCTGCCTCGGCACCATTCCCTATGCAAAGCTGACCACTCTTTGATTCAGCTTCCATCATACTGTAGGGCTAAAAAACCACCCAAACTTCACTTCCCCCTCCCCCATCCACAATCACCCCTACATAGAGTGAAAAAATCAATAATCAGCTATAACATCAATGCATGTGCGCATGCACACACTCAAAACCTAGAAAAAATACTCTTAAATTCGTAGATGCCCTTATACTGTTGATCAAGTTCTAATTCCAACTTCCAACTTCATTAAACAAAAAACTAAAAAAAATAGCAGAAGTTTTCGATTCTTATAGTACAATTAATAAAAATTGCAAGAGATTCAGTTGCATTACGTAATTCGACGTCTCGTATCACGGAAAGCTGTGAAGGAAAGTTCACTCATTCCATAACCAACTTCCGAAGCCTTCCTTCCAAAAAACGCTGATTTCCAAAATTCTCCAAATTCCAATCCAATAAACCAAATATCGAATTGGAATCTAATCTTCCATCCGAAGAAACTCCCCCAGATCTAGTACAAACAGTATCTATCTATTCATAAAAAATCCTACTTTTTTCACTCAATTTCAAGTATAGTACAAAGAAAAAAACGAAAACAGATCCAGGAATAAAACAAAATTAAAATGAAAAAAAAAATGAAAAAAGAGGTTAGGGTTTAGGGCAGTGATTGTCAAAATATCGGTTAAACGACGGAAGCGGCAACAGAGGAAACTGAAAAAGGTCGGATTCGCGGTATAGACTTTTTGGAAGTAGTAGTGGCTGTTGAGTTTATATATATACAATAATAAATGGTAATTTTGCTTGTGTATTAAGTTTGATGGAAGAAAAGTCGTTTCGAGATTTGGAAGGAACGAGAACCAATTGTGGGGGCGAAATTGTAGATAATTGTGAATTGAGGGACCAGAAACTATTTACACGCCTAACTTTTTCCTTTCTCTTTCTATTTTATTTCCGTGTGGGCCCAGTCCACGTTTCCCGTTTTCGTGCGCCACGTGGCGGGTGATGAGCTGTATGAGCTTCGTGACCTATTCTAGGAAGACGTGTCCGATTTTTTCCTACAGTATGACATGTTCCTTATTTAAATTTATTTTCAAAATATGCATAAATAACTAAATAAGGTAAGCATTTTAATTGGCCCAATGCACCCAACGATTATGGGAATTGGGTCTTTGGGCTTTTTAGTTGAAAGCCCAATGCAATCCAGGCATAATATAACATATTAATTATCATTATTTGATGAATTTATTACTACATTATTAAATTATCTATAATAAAGTTTCTTTTTTTTGTTCATAAATATCCACTTTTTTCATATATTCATGTGCTTTTAATCTTTATTAATCACTGAGAATAATTAATTACATGTTATTTTCCTAAAAATTAAATATTACACCTAATTATTTACACTTTGTGGATGAACCGTATATCTATCTACACATAATCTCACACATGTGTGTATTTATAGTGAGTAGTTATTTAATTAAATTTAAAGTTCAAATTTACCCGGTATAAATAACCAAGTGTATCGGATAGTCTATAAGTATTTCTAATCAAATAATAAATTCTTCAACTTATTTAACAAAATAAATTGCAATATTTCATGATTGACCAGGATTTATTATCACTATAAATCAACATAGAAGTTATGCATGCTACATCCAAGTTCGAATCATGGGTCTTACCAAGGGTTGCTAGGTCAAGTTTCTTAAAATCAACATAGAAGTTATGCATGCTACATTTAACTACCAAAGGTTGCTAGGTCAAGTTTCGTAAAATCAACATAGAAGTTATGCATGCTACATTTAAGTTCGAATCTCGAATCCCGGACCTTACCTTGGGTAATACACAATTAGCGCGAAAACTATTATATGAGAAAGTAAATTTACCCATGATAGGGTGAAAAACTATTATACGAGAGTGTAAATTTACTCATACACACGGTTAGCTGCGGATTCCTTCATTGCCAAAGAAACAATAAAAAAATTAGATGCATGTCAATTTTGGCGAAAGATATATCCAATCTCAACTTCTATTTTGCTTTTGTGTTTTTCAGTTGAATAAATATATCATCAATAAATAGATGGTAAAATATAGAAAATCGAGCGGGAAGCAAAACATTAAACTCAAAAGCGACAAATCTTATATATAAAAGAAAGAACCGCTGGGCAACCCTAAAAAAACCCTAATGATATTTTTGTAATTATTTATTTTTGATATTTTTTCTCTACTAAATTTCTACCTATAATTTTTAACAATTATCAAAAAATTGAAACTAAACCGTGAAGAATCCTACCCTAATGGTATTTCAGTATTTATTTATTTTTAATTTTTTTTTTCTAATTTGGATTATAAATCTTAATATGTAAGATTTCAAAAAAAAAAAAGTTAATGTTATATAAAATATGAATAATATTACATTATTAAACTTTACTATCTTAGTGTACTATATTTGTTTATTATGTATTAAACTGATTCTTTTTTTTCACTTTTAAAATAAGATCCCGTGCATTGCACGGGGGAAAATGCTAGCATATGATCAATGAAAGAAGCTCTTATGTACCAACCCAACTAAATTCTTCAACGGGATCAAATCATCTTCGTTTAATTATTTCACGTCGTAAGAAGAGTTGAGCACGTCTTATATATAAAAGAAAGAAACGCTGGGCAACCCTAAAAAACCCCTAATGATATTTTTGTAATTATTTATTTTTGATATTTTTTCTCTACTAAATTTCTAACTATAATTTTTAACAGTTATCAAAATTGAAACTAAATCGTGAAGAATCCTACCCTAATGGTATTTCAGTATTTATTTATTTTTAATTTTTTTTCTCTAATTTGGATTATAAATCTTAATATGCAAGATTAAAAAAAAAAAAAATTAATGTTATATAAAATATGAATAATATTACATTATTAAACTTTACTATCTTAGTGTACTATATTTTCTTATTATGTATTAAACTGTTTCTTTTTTTTCACTTTTAAAATAAGATCCCGTGCATCGCACGGGGGAAAATGCTAGTTAATTATATATTTAGAGAACCATCAAAGTTTTTGATTAACCAGAAAGATCAGATGACAAAATCACTGTTCATTTACCAAAAAAGAAAAAAAAAAAAAAAAAAAAAAACACAGAAGCAAAATTAGAGAAAATAATATAATGCAAAACTCGGGTTTCGGCAAAGCACGATTTTCAAGCGCTAGGAGCAGCATCCTTAACTTTGGCATGCAAGTACCCACCATACTCTCTAGCATAATCCTTCATCTGACCCGCCGTATCAGCGATTCGGGTCCTGGCGAATTCGAACCGGTTCGACCCGACCGGCTGGAACCCCCTGAAATACCTGTACAGCCAGGACGCCGCCGCCACGGCGGCGACGCCGAATCCGAGAAAGGACAAAAATCCGGAGACGACGATGAAGATCAGGACGCCGATCGGGAACCATATCGGGCTGGAGATGAGAATGAGAGGTGCGAAGAAGATGAGGCTGAGTACGGTGGCGGTGAGGGTGAGTCCGGCGAGCAGGAGCAATATTCCGCCGGAGACTACGAGCGTGGCGAGGCCGGCGAGCTGTGTTGAGTTCGGCGCGTGCTCTCTGAGCTTCTGCATGATGGAGCCGCCGGCGGTGGATGACCTCGCGGCCGGATATTGTCGATCCGCCATTGTTGCTGTGTGTGTGTGTGATCGGAGAAATCAGAGAGATGAGATTGTGAATGTGGAGAAGACGATTGAAGATGTATTGGGGGAAGGAGATGGAGGAGGATGGGGTGACACGTGTGGCCGTTGGTTTCATGCACGAAAACACGTGTGAGGGATGGAGGGTGTTTGGATCTTAGTGAATGACTGGATTCTATTAACTTAATTTTCTTGGGTAATTTCATAATTATTAACTTTGTTGGGCTGTAATTGGTTGGGCTAAAAAATTGAAAGCAACTTAGATATAATTTAGAAGCCCAATAAAAAAATTTGAACCATACTCAAAACCCACTTAAAATGTCATTTTTATGTATTTAAAATATTTATTGATATATTATGTTAATACTACTTCACAAAAATGTGAAAAAGAACAATGCAACATTTCATATAATTTTAAATCGTAGATCTACACAAAATAATACATACGTAATGTGTATGTATACTTAGTGGGTAGTTATTTACGTACGTATACGTTTTAAAATTGCATAGTGTATTTTCACCGAGTGTAGGATCCATAAGTCGTAATCCTGATGCATGAACGCCGAATCATTAATACATCTATACTAATCAGTGCATCGAATGATCAAATACTTGGTGAACCACTTAAGTTGGTTTTACCAAATTGAATTATATGAAATTTCAATATTATCCCAAACGTAAAGTCGACCGCATTCATAATTTGGATACTTACGGATGCGGTCGACTCTTTCTTTTCTTTTTTACTTATTACGAAAAAAATAAATCGACCGCATCTGTAAGTATCCAGATTAAAAATACATATTATCCGTCAGTAACGGCAAATTAAACGAAAGTTCATTTAATACTTTTTTCTTCCGTTCCATAGTATATATCATTTTGTATTGTTGCGTGTATATTAAGAAAACGAGCATTCTAACAAAAAAAAATCGAAAATTAGAAAAATGTACTTATTATTATTATTTTTTTAAATATTTCCAATAGGATTCAGAAAATCTAAGTAATTTATTGCTACATAATCCCAATATGAAGATAATCTTTGACTTATCTTCCTATAAGACCCAACCAATTACTCTTTTTTCACTACATTTCCATAGTTCCAATTTCCAAAGGCTAACAATAATATTTTTGTTCCTTTTCCCCCTAACATTTTCTGTAGACTCCAAACAAAAAATGTCCGAGAGAGCTAACCGTCACCGGCGGCGGCCGTCGCAGGGTGTTTTCGTTCTTCCGGACAACCTCTCCGATCCTCTCACAGACGACATCGCTCACGCGCCACCTGCCGCTCAAGCTCCGCATCCGCCGCAGGAACGCAGCGCCGGTGGTGCTGGTGTTCAGTTGCCGCCGCAGCCGCCGCAGCCTAAGCGGGCGGAGGAAAAGCCTAATCCCGATCGCTCCGGCAAATGATGAGCGACAAGTATGAAATAAAAATTACTAGGTTACTTTATTAAATGTTTTTTTAACTACTAGATCTTCGCTGTTACAGAAAAATCAATGTAAGCTTCAAAAGTATTTTAGTAATATCGCTAAATTTCAGGACTGAGTTCGTAATTTCATTAAATCGCTTCTGCTGAGTTCTGCCATTCGGATCTGTTTTGGTTTCAGTTTCTTATCCTCACAAATGAGGTTAATTTCGTAAATCTGGCTAAGCAAAATCATAATGCAGAGTAAATCTGGTTCATTTCTTTTTCGGAAAAATTAAAATATTTTATTTATTTATTTGTGTTTGTTCGTGAACAAAATTAATTCTTCACATTATTTTGTTTTTATTTAATCCCCAATAAAGTATAGATAGAGAGCACTTTAAAGTTTGACCGTGTGACGGTGGTGAGAAAAAAAAATCAGAAGGGTAGTTGTGGCTTTTCGGTCAAAGGTTGAATTTTTTTTTTTTTTTGATAATTAGTCAAAGGTTGAATTTAATAGCCAAAAAGGCATACTAATTACAAATAAGTCTAAAAGATAAAAGTACACCTACTGAGGAAATTGCAGTCAACATTATTTCCTGAAACTCGTTTGGCCAAATTTTTAATTTTGGGTAATTGATGGCCTGAAATAATATTAAGATACTTAAGAACAAGTACATTATAAAATGATTATTTAATCCTTCAATTATTTTTTAATATTTAAAAAAACTTTCGAAATGAAAAATGAATACTTTGTCGAATAATAAAATAATATTACAACGTTTCATAACTAAGAATATAACATAACATATTTTTTTTGTTTGAATTTTAATTTTGAAAAATAATTCAAAAAATCCAATATTGAAAAAAATATACACTATTAGTATTATATTTTACTTTTAAATATATTATTATACTTTTCCATTTATATTTAAAAAATATAGACAATTAAAAAGGTGAACTAATTTTTTAAATGCATGTATTTTTAAACTTTTGCAATCAATAAGTAGTGGGACCAAGTTATGTAAGATTCATGTGGGCCGAGATTGTTTAATCCACTCACTTTTATGCCGAGGGCCAAGCCTGTCGAGAAGAGGCCCACTAATTAATGGACAATACGACGTCGTGGCGCGTGGGTTTAGATTTTTATTTCGGCGAGTGGAAAAAAAATCATCGGAAATTCAGGATGAATCCGGTGACGGGGAATGGTGGTGGTCGGACAAAAATGCAGAAATTGGTAGTGGTGGCGGTCGATCGCCTCTTCCACCACGACCGTTGTGTCAAGCGCACCTCAAAATACATGTCTCGCGAGGAGGACAATCAATTCAACAATGGCGATCGAGTCCGTATTGTTAGATGCATTTCTCGTTCTTCAGTTTGAAACACGAATTTGCTTAATTTTTAATTTTCTTTGTAATTTTTTTCAGGATGAAAGTCGGTGAGGTTGAATCCTTCACGGCCGCTCAGCTAGCGGGATCACTTGTTCGTGGCGGTATGCCGCCTTCTCTCGATGATATTTCAAAGCGGCGAGGCATGTGAGTTGATTTTGGTTTCACTTTTTTTTTGCCCCCTAATACTGGGTGAGTTGGTTTTTGTTGTGTTTCATGTTTTAATTGCATGTTGTAATTTATGAATGTGGGGAACAAACGGTTGGAGTGGTACTGTTGTAATTAATTGGCTTGTTGAAAAATTGGGAAGATAAAATGTGTTTGTGAGTTCTGCTGTTCTTGGTTGAAGTAATGCTACATTTGTGTGAACTATTGTGTACAATATATCTTTGATCACCACGAAGATCATTATACAATCAGGACAAGATGTAAATGAAATGGAAGTAAATTTTTCACTAGTACTGCGTTATGATTATTAACTTATTTCCCATCTATATATCTATAACATACGATGATGATGATAATGCCGTACAAGCTGAGTCTTCAATTCTCGTTCCACGGTGTCCTTTTCATCTGCCTAACAGTTCTAACAGCCCTCCAGACAACACTGTTGCACTTGAAGCCAGAGCCCAGAGCCAGTTGCCAGACCCTGTCTCCATTCTTGATCCTGTTCTTGGCTTCCAAGTAAGCCAGCTCATACCAAATACTGCTGCTGGAAGTATTTCCGAACCGCGCCAGGGTCTTTCTAGAAGCTTCCATGTATTCATCTGTCAGGTCCAGGTTCTTCTGTATCTCGTCCAGCACTTTCTTGCTCGTAGCCAGTATGCAGACGTGCTCAAACGCGAGCTTGTAGTCGGGGATGTAGGGCTTGGAGGAGCCGGTTTTATTGAAAAGTAGTGATTTGAAGAAGTGGAATTGCTCCAAAAGAGGGAGCACTAGTGGGCCGAGTGTGGTGATGTTGGCCTTGAGGGCATGGCCCCCTACTTCTATCACGTCTTTGCTCACTGATAGGCCTTGTTTTCTTTGTGAGTCTTCTTTGAGTTGTATGCTTCTGAAGCTCCTCTCATCAGTTCCTTTGTGAGTTCTGACCAACTGCAGATTCGATCGGGTGGACGACAAAAGGTTAGATATAGATTCGATACATGTAGTGTATACTGTATACATACATGTATGTTATCATGATTAAATACAGATATGGTTTTTCTTCGTTCCATTTGTTTAGCTAATATCTGATATCTTTGAAGGTAATGAATGGGATAAATTGACTCATTAATTGGCCGACCAAATCTTCGGTGACGGAGAGCACATGGCTTATAGGGGGCCATGGCCCCCACCCCTTTTGGAGAACCTAGTCTTTCATCTAGAGATTTCGAATAGTGTAGTATTGCAGGCAATGAATTTTATGTAGTACTTGGACATTTTAGTTTAGATTTAGCCTCTAGAGAACCTAGTCTTTCATGTATTGATTACCTGCTTCAATTGATATTTGGAGCGCCATCTGTCCAGGCGGCGATTCGAGAGCAAAATGGCGGCAGCCCCCATGCGGAGGAAGCAATTCGGAAGCAGCATATCCATCTCATTCCCACCATACCAAGTGAAGCTGACAACTTCAGTGCTAACTATCATTGCATATGAGCCTGGATAGGCGTTCAGAAGGTCGTTGGCCAGATCAACAGCAGTTATGCCGGCGGCACAGCCCATGCCGCCAATATTGAAGCTCTGGATTGTGTGGCTGAGCTTGTAGCGGTTGATTATCATGGCGGAGAGGGAAGGGGTGGTGTTGAGGACCCCACAGTTGACAATCAGGATCCGTATGTCTTTGGGGCGGATTCCGGTGGCGGCAAAGAGGTCCTCCACCGCCCCAAACATCAGCATCGCCGCCTCTTCCCGGCCATCTCCAAGGTCTTTTCTGTAATTTGGCTGGAATATCACTCTCGGCAGGTACGTTTCATCGCCTATGCCTGAATTCTTGAGAACTTGCTGCTGGAATTCAATTGCTGCATCGTTGAACTGGCCTGATTTCTTGGCCAACTCTATGTATTCCTCGTTCGTTATCTGTCATAACAGTCCAAAATATTAATCGTAAATCTTGCAACAAAATTATGCCGGAAATTAGAAAGGTACTTAATAGATAGATGGATACCTTGAGTTCGTTTGGTGGGAGGTAGCAGGCGAAATCGACCAGATAAGTCGAACGAGGAGTCAAATCGAGATAAACATACACAAACAGGGACAAGAATCCTGATAAGAGAAGGGTGTTGACTAGGTTGTAATACTCCAGGGAAAAAACACCATCCCATGTTAGCTTCCCGATCTGTGTACCGATGATCACTAGAAGAACCGGCAAGACCGCGAAATATTTACCGTGGTTAATAAGATAACGGTAGCCAAGCCTCACATATTTCAAGTTGACTGAGCTAAGGAAGTCAGGCAAACCGCGGTTAACCTTCACCGAAAAGCTCGGTGAACCGGAGTTGTTGATGCCACGGTTAACTATTTCTGGTGAAAGGTACTCTTCTCTCCTTCTAGCCATTGAATGAAGCTGGGTATAGGTGACAAACTTTGAAGAATGTTGAATTTATGAGAGTGGTTTGAAGTGAAGAAAAAGCTAATAAAGGGGTTTCGGTTTCGGTTGTTACAGAATTGGGAGGGGGCTTTGTTGCATGAATACCTTCTGGACAGCGGTTTTGAAGGGGTTGCCCATTTTCGTGCGTGTTGAGAATGTTCTGTAAACCGTATATAAAGCTTGGACATTTTGCATTTCTTCAAACCTTGTTGAATTAAAATTAAAAATTAAATTATTTATTCAAAAAAATAAAATGAATTTGGGTGAGTGGGACAACACCAAATTGCTATCCACACTTCACTAGTTTTATCATTAAACAAGCCAACGCTAAACTTCGATGTCACGAATTCCATCTTCTAATCTTCTTAACACACTACATTCAGTGGGGGAGCCAGAATTTGTTGTAAGGATGGATTAAATGTTGACAGGGGCTCATGGACAGCGGCCCTGGATTTTTTCCCGGAACTATTCATAAAAGCCGGCACAAATTTAAGAAAAAAAATTAATTTTTTTTTTATTTAAATTGTATATTGTCCAAAATATAATTAGTAGAGCTCTTTAAACTACATCGCAAATGATTTAGGGTGGGCGATCCATGATAAAGCAATCACAAATGAAGAGACAGGAATATTTGCCACTAAACCCACGTAGAATTCGATTTTTCGAATGTACGAACAATAGCAGAAACTTACATACCGATCTACATCGTGTCTTTGCATAAAAGACAATCGAAAATGTTTCAATAAATCGGTTCTTCCAAACCTTTTATCATAAAATTAGTTAACACATGCTTTCTTTTCTTTCTATAACTTCGATACACGTCAACCGAGTTCGCACTTGTTTTTCAGTTTGTATAAATTGAAATCCGATCATTAAAGAGTCATGAACTCATCATAAAACACACATGATTCTGCACCACTTTGAGAATAATTCTTAAACTCAATCATCAATGGCTTTGTTTCCACACTTTAACTTATTTGATGAGTTTAAAATTTTTGTAGGGTTTGTGATGATGACTGATGAATGTGTTGTGTATTTGTGCAGTGCAGTGACTTGATCAATAATACGTAAAATGTACTACTTCGATTTATTTTTTTAATAATAATAATTTTTTTTTTATTACAAAGATGCAGGGTAAACTAGTATTTTTGGTTAAGGGTATTTCTGGAACAAGCAAATGATTTGGAAGCAATGATCGCATTTGCGAAACACGACTTTAGTAGCGAGATGTGGATTTACTGGCTGTAATTTCCCAATGTATAATTTCTAACCCAACGGGTCACAAAGGTGTGCTGTTCTTTTACAGTCGCTCTAGTCTTTCTCAAGTCACCCCTCGATCCATCGCTGCTCGATTCAATTTTGGGGGTTTTCATCATTTCCCTTGTTTATTCCATCTGTTTTTTTTTTCAAATCAAAATTTGAGAATTGGCAGCAGGTAAATCAGGATTGGGCGAGGAGATCCGCTTCGATGTTTGGTCTTCAACTTTGTCGCTTTGTCTCCTTAATCCTGCTCTCCCTCTTGGTGAGTATATATGTATGTATGTATATGTGTGTGTGTGTGTGTAAAATGCATATTTTTCTGACGGACGGATTGTTACTATTACGTTATCTGAAGTGAGATTGTGTGTTGTTTTCGTTTCGCTGTATAATTTGTGTAATTAAGTGCATGAGTAGGTGTGAGTTGATTAAATCCGTTTCATTTGAGTAAATTTGAAATATGAAATCATGGAGAAGCAAAAAGGTTGATGAGTATGGAATACATTTCAGTGAAAATGTGTGTGTTCTGAATTCTGATGGAATTTTGATTTAACTTTTTTTATGTCAGTTATCAGGGGATACATCAAATGGGGCACCATTTGGGAATCGTAAAAGTGGAAAATCACCATCAGTATTTTCTTTGTTTAACCTCAAGGAGAAAAGTCGATTCTGGAGTGAGTCCGTTATACGCAGCGGTATGATTTTTTATTTTCCTATTTTGGTATATCATGTATATTGTATTTTTCCTTTTGCTTCGTACTGTAGGAAATTCATCTGAACCTTTTCTTTTTTCCTTTTTGTAACTGGATTGATGGTAAGTACAGGCTATGATGATCTGGAATCGTCTAACGCAGGGAAATTTGATGTCATCAACTACACCAAGGCAGGTACTTATTGTGTATGGCAATTGGATCGATAAAACAGTTTCCTTTCTGTTTGATATGCTATCCCGATGCTGTTAGAATCTGTAAATTATTGTTAAGTCAATACAGCTTATAGTTTCACCACTAGTGTGGGTTATCAATGTCAGCTAAATTTTTAAGAAATTTTGTATAAGGTTTGTGCGAGCTAAGTTACTATTCTCCGAGAAATATCCAAAAGGGAGTAAGGGACTTGTAAGTAGCACATAGTGTTCATTTGTTGTAAGCTGGTGGATTGGGGACGGTAACATATTACTAGGTTGCTGATTATTGTTTTAGCCTTAGGTCTATTTACGAAAACTTGACTGCCAAAAATAGAGGTTTTTTATCGCTGCAGCCTGCATGACTGGATGCAAAATTTCATTGGAGCTTTCTTTTTTTACCAATTTTTTAATGTTCTTGAACCATAAATGGGTTCCTGTTATGTTCCATGAGGGACGGATTTCAAGAATTCCGACCATCTTCCAAACACCTCATTTCTTTTTGTTTCTAAACTCGATAGCTTACATTAAATATGATCCGCACGTTTTCAACGTGTGCAGTTTCTGATGTAGGCTACCCATACATATATGAAATTGTTGTCACTTATTTTACGTTATCATAGTGTAAAGGTTTATTTCTCTTGGTTCTCAGGAAATATTGCAAATCATCTGAAGCTTTTGGAAGTTGATTCGCTATATCTTCCAGTGCCTGTAAACTTTATTTTTATAGGATTTGAAGGGAGTGGAAACAAAGGTATGTGGGGATACTATTCAATACATTTGTCGAAGTTTTCTCTTAGACCGTTGATTTTTATTTATAACCATCTATTATTTCTATTTTTCAGAATTTAAGCTAAATGCCGAAGAATTAGAGCGATGGTTCACAAAAATTGATCACATATTTGAACACACTAGGATTCCAAAAATTGGAGAAATTCTCACACCATTTTACAAGATTAGCATAGATCAAGAACGCCGTCACCATCTTCCGATGATCAGCCACATAAATTATAAGTATTGCCCAGATTCGTTGTTGTTTTGCTTATTTGACTGATATTAGAAAATGTACTCTGTGAAGTTCTGCAACCTACTATTATTGTTTATGGTTATTATTATTGTTACTTACATGGTTAACTTTTTATTTTTTGTCAAATCCACTTCTAGCTTCTCCGTTCACGCCATCCAAATGAGTGAAAAAGTCACATCCATATTTGAGCGTGCTATTAATGTCCTTGGCCGCAAGGATGATGTATCCAGTACCAGGTATTTTAGTGCCCCAGGAATTAGAAGACTTATAATTTACGATGTATTGTTTGGCGTAAATGGTGTGTGCTCATTGAATGAATTCTTCATTGTTTGTCGTCAAAGTGATGATGAAATAGGGCTTTGGCAAGTTGACGTTGATATGATGGATGTCGTCGTTACCAGCCTCGTGGAGTATTTACAATTGGAAGATGCATATAACATCTTCATTCTGAACCCAAAGCGTGATGCTAAAAGATCTAAATATGGTTATAGGTAAGTCTTCTTGCGATAGCATTTGTATGTTAATTAAGATCTTAGTAATGCCAATCAAATTTTAGTTAAATTTGGCTACTGAATGTCTTGAAATATAATTAGATTTTTTATTACGTTCGAGCTATACCAAACAAATTTGTGTTTGAAGACATCAACCTTATTTTATGTTGATATGGAACTTTGCTTCACAGTTATGACGTGTTTTTGTTTCTTAAACATTGATTTCCTTCCATATCGAGTAAAAAGAGAGAAAAACTAAAAACTCAGAAGTTAGAAAAAATATACTTCCATATCTGCGTCATATTGTATGCCGTGATTATTATGAGCCTTTAATTTTGTTATGCTACTATTACGACTAGGTTCGTTACTCTGTATATTGCATAATTGTTGTTATTGTGGGAATTTCTAAGACATGATAATGTTGGCAAAGATTTCTGAAATGTGCTTTTGCACGAGTGATTAAGTCTGCTAAGATATACATGGCTGTAAAATGAGTCCTTCAGATAAGCTTAGGGTGGCTATGGTTATATGATGCTAAAATCAATAAATGCTAATCATTTCTTGAATTGAAATTTTTATATGATAAAAGATCATATTTATAGTATTTATGGAAATTAGCTAAGAGAGGAGAAACTCCTATCCCGCCTTAGAATTGCAAGCTAGAAATTCACTTATAATGATAACATCCTTTTATTCTATATACCCCATGACACAGGAATTTATTGTACTTCTGTGATGGTAGTAATTTCTTTCCTGATCTGTCAAGAGCAATCGTTGTTGGAAGTATTTGTCCTGTTTATATCTCCACTCTGGATGTGCTTATTAACTTTGATTTTCATGTTACAGGAGAGGCTTATCTAAGACTGAAATGGACTTTCTTAAGGAGGTATATTGTATTAGTATGTAGCCCCCCCTCCCCCCCCCCCCCCACACACACACACACACATTCGCTCTAGGATTTCCGTTTCCCATCTGATAACAAAGAATATTTTTATCTCCAATCTCGATTCATCTCAATTAACTATGAAAAATACATTCTATACTTGTTTGCTTGCAGTTAGAGCTATCTAATCTGATTTCGCAGTATGTATTTCTTTTATTTTTCCCTTATACACTTTTGTGCTGCCTGTACTTGAATCAATTTCTGCAGAATAAGTCCTTGCAAGATAGAATCCTCCAGTCTGGAAATATTCCGGATAGTGTTCTCGGTGCGTAGGACTTGTCTCTGGGTCTCTTGCATTTCCCTATTTGTGGATGAGAAACATATTTTGCAGTTGCTAATTTTACATTTGATAATCTTGTTAGCTCTGGAGAAAATCAAAAGACCTTTGTATGAAAAGCATCCAATGGCAAAGTTTTCCTGGACTTTAACTGAGGAGACAGACACGGTGCGTCATACTACTGCCTAAATTTTTTATGCATCTATCTATGATATATAATTTAGTTACACCAAAATTAATTTGCCACAAACTTGGATTTTTCCAATCGGTGCTTGTTTGCTTTCTTTCAAGTTGTTTACAAAAAAGTTCAAGCTTTCCATGTCATGATTTTTATGCCTTTCTTGAATCATTGTAACCATTTCAGATAGAGTGGCATAATAGATGCCAAGATGCATTGAACAATGTTGAGAAGCTATATCAAGGGAAAGACACAGCTGATATAATACAGAGCAAAGTTTTACAGGTATATTAATTTTTTTAATTGCGTTATAGTGTCGAAAATGCTCATTTGGTAAAAAGGAAAATATGATTGTTTCATATCTTGAAAACATGCAGGTTTGACGAAATTCAGTTCTAGAAGTATTTATAGTCGTAGTGATCGCGAAGTCTTTTATTGATCTTTTCAATGTTACAGTTTTTGAAAGGGAAAAATGATGATCTGAAGCATTTCTCTGAGAAAGATTTGAAGTCTGGGGACTTCAGTGGCTTTCAAGCTGAATGTCTTACTGATACGTGGATTGGGAATCATAGGTCATCTCTCTCTCTCTTGCTAACAATTCTTCTTTTTGGTGAGTTTGATTTCTTAGTTGTTGGAATTGTTATATGCAGGTGGGCATTTGTAGACTTGAGCGCGGGCCCTTTTTCATGGGGACCATCAGTAGGTGGAGAAGGCGTACGAACAGAACAAAGCCTACCAAATGTGGAGAAAACCATTGGTGCAGTTGCAGGTATTAGTTACCCAGGTGGAATAAGGTGGTGTCAGTTTAACTAATCTCATGGTATTTGGATTTTCGCATGGGAATCATTCTGGTGCTTTTAGTGGTTCCATTTATTTGATATGAATAACAGTCTTATCTATATAGGCCATCATCCGTATGGAATTCAATGTTTTAAATGTTGTATTTTGTTTTATTTAGCATGATGGCCGGTTTAAGTTGCCTGCAGATTACTTGTGGCAATTCACTTGCTTTGCCAACATGTCAAGATTTTAGTTGTCCCTAGCCCTATTGTAATTCCTCCAACTAAGTGATAGCTGTCGAGAATTGTTCAGGTTGTTTTTCTTTTAATTGATTTGTACTTACAATATTTCTAATGCATCCAGAAATTTCAGAAGATGAAGCAGAAGATCGCTTGCAAGAGGCAATTCAGGAGAAGTTTGCAGTGCTTGGTGATGTGAGCATTTATTTGATTTCCATTTATTAAGTTACTCTTTATTTGGTGTTTTTGTAATTTTTTAATCTATATGATGATATTTATTTACTTCTGACTTCGAAAAAAGACCTGAAAATTATATGTGCTGTTATGAAGATTCTTAATATTTTCTGGTTATGCCATGGCTTTATGAAAGAATGGAAACATAAGTAACTCTGTTTTTTTTTTTTTTTTTTTTTTTTAATTTATATTTTTTATCAGAGATTTGGCACATTTGGTAGACATTGTTATGAGGGTTGATGAAGGATTACATTATTTTTCCATGTAAAGTTCTCATGGTTTGTGTTCATGATTACATTTGTTTTGCCATGTACGATCTTTATGAATATGGCTCTTGCTATATTGAAAGAAATTGCATAAAGTCTTGCTTATTTTGGCTCTTGCTACATTGAAATGAAAGAAATTGCCTAAAGTCGTACTTATTTTTTTTTTTTTTTTTTTTTTTTCCTTTTGCTTGGAAAAACAATGTTATTTCATTTGTTGGTGCTCCTGTATAATAAATTCCTCTTTTATTTTTTCTTTTTTTGTAGTGACAACTATTATGTTATTTATTAATTGGATTGTGATGCATAACATGTTTTATCATCTCCCACAGAATGATAACCATGCCGTTGATATCCTTCTAGCTGAAATAGACATATATGAGCTTTTTGCTTTCAAACACTGCAAGGGAAGGAAGGTGAAGCTTGCACTTTGTGAAGGTAATGCCATTTTCCTGGACAGAGAGATAGCTTCTTTCTCTCTCATTGGTTGTTTTAGTCCCTAGTAAGTTATTTATGTAAATAGACTGTTCTTGTATATATGTTTTTTTCACAAAATGTTTGTGATCACAAACTTCTCACTAAGCTATTGACCTTCTCTTTTTTTTTTCAATTCTCTTAGTTATCTTTCATGTATTAATTAAATTTCATTTAAATTGCAATTCCAGAACTTGATGAGCGTATGCAAGATTTGAAAAACGAGCTCCAGTCTTATGAGAGTGAGGAACATGAGGAAAGTCATAAGAAAAAAGCCATTGATGCATTGAAACGGATGGAGAATTGGAATTTGTTCAGTGATGCTAATGAGGTTATATTAGTCTGCTTCAAGAGCAGCTTCTGTTCATTGAATACGTATCGTCTTTGCTATATTTTCATCAGAAATCAAATTGTAATGCTGATCTATCTTTGGCGGTGCAGGAATTCCAAAATTATACTGTTGCACGTGATACTTTCCTCTCACAAATGGGGGCAACACTTTGGGGATCATTGAGACACATAATTTCTCCTTCCCTTGCTGATGGTGCATTCCACTATTATGATAAAATCTCCTTTCAATTGTTTTTCATCACACAGGAGGTAAAAATACGTGGATTAAGCATACAGGAAACCTTAAAAAAAATTTGTTGAAAACTTGTCTTTGCTCTGCTTTCCCTGTGCAGAAAACAAGAAGTATTAAGCAGTTACCCCTTGATCTGAAAAGTATCATGGACGGGCTTTCCTCTTTGGTGTTACCTTCTCAGAAAGTTCAGTTCAGTCCACACATGTATGTCTGTTGTTTATTGGTGGTTTTCTGTCTATAGATTAATTAAATTTTTGGAACTTCTTATGTGCTGAAAGTTGTCAACCTTGAACTAGAGAAATGAAAGAAAACAAGAGATTTAAGATGTCAATTTTCAGGAAGGACCCAAGTATACCGTAGTCTAAGACTAGAATATTATCTTATTTTTGAATCATTGAAAATGTAACCGACATTTATGTGAAGTTCTTGAACATGAGGAAATTGTTGAAGTTTTATGCAAGCTGCTTGACTGCTCGGATTACCCTCATTGATAGATGTCTAAACTTGTGGTTTGATTTTTGCTCATGGTAGTTAATTCTTGCCTTGTTTAACTGGAATAATCTCTTTGATAGGTTGCCACTGTCTGAGGATCCTGCTTTGGCAATGGCGTTTTCAGTGGCTAGGAGAGCAGCTGCTGTACCTTTGTTACTCGTCAATGGAACATATAGAAAGACTGTTCGATCATATCTTGATTCTTCTATTCTTCAGCATCAGCTGCAGAGGTTAACCGATCATGTTTCCTTGAAAGGTTTGATTGCCTAGAGGTTTTACCCTTTTCATGTTCAGTGCATGTTGGCATTGGTTATATTATTGAATCAAATATTTTTGTAACTATCACTTGACAATATGAGGTAAATTATGTATGAGTAGCTTAAAATAATGTCTACAATGTGTCAATCAGGTAACTAATGGATATATTCGTTGGGATCTTTTTTTGTTGGCCTGGCTCATGAAACTTCATTTTTCAAGTATGAATATGCGGATTCAGATGCACATTTATACTATCATGTTTAAGTGTTTATATAGTGGCAGTCAAAGTATCCTGTATTTGCAGCAGTCCAGGACCAGAGGTCCAGAAGTTATTATCATCTTTTAAAGGTTTGATTATCATTTTATGTTAAGTAATGCATATTTCGTTGTTGTTCTAGGTTCGCATGCCAATAGCAGGTCTACGCTGGAAATCCCTATTTTTTGGTTCATTCACGGCGATGCATTGTTAGTCGACAAGCATTATCAGGCAAAAGCACTCTCGGATATGGTTATTGTTGTTCAGTCGGAGCCATCATCCTGGGAAAGCCATCTGCAATGCAATGGGCAGCCACTTCTATGGGACTTGAGGTTAAAGACTTGCTTCTTTAGTAATGAAATTTGAGATGGATAATAGCAAAAAGTTCTCTTATGTTCCAGTTTCCACTTTAAAACTTTTATTCTAAGCCCTAACACGTGTTCAATTATGAGTTCATTGATCAGAAGTATTTTGTTGTCCCTTTGACCTTTGTGCTGCTTAATCCATAATAAAGTGCTTTCAGTTGATGATGTAACATGAATTCCGGGAAACATTTCATGCATGTTATACGGTTATGCATAACTGTTATTCTTTTGTTTTGTATGAGAACTGGTGATGTTACTTGTGCTTTTATTTTAGTTCTCAAAATTGACCTTGATATTTTCACAGTTGTGACAGTATTTCTGTTGAAACTACACGTAGAGACGGGAGTTTTTTTTTTTTTTTTGGCTGTTCGGCATGCTAAGAACTATATTACTATTGGATTATAATGTTCTGACATCATATATTTCTAAATTCTAATTGCTAAATTCCTTGAGAGTTGGTTAGTTATATTGTATTAAATATCTAGTTTACCTAGCTAATATGCTTTTTGTTACACAGGCGGCCCACAAAAGCTGCTCTGGCTGCTGTGTCTGAACATTTAGCTGGATTGCTTCCTCTTCATCTTGTTTACAGTCAAGCCCACAATACTGCCATCGAGGTTATGAAGTGTTTACTTTAGACGAATTTATGATATTCCTAGGCTCCTAACATGTTGCAAAAATTTGCTGCTTATGTTACATTAAACCGGAATTTGCTGCTCTGCTCACCATTGAGGCTTTAACTTGTGGTATCCGCTTCTTCTGAGTAGGGAGAGGCTGCGAGTTCAAATTCCTACTGGTGCTTGTGTTGTAGGACATTTTACAAGGCCTTTATTATTATTATATATATTTTTTAAAGTAAGTCAACCTAATTGGTTACTTTTGCCACTGAAGTGGATGGGCATCTTCCATGCTCGTTTCCCTTCTCCTTTTAATAAAAAAAAAATGGTGCTCCTTAATAAGAAGAAGAACAGGAAAGAAAAACATTTTGTTTTCGTGCTGCATTTTTTTTGTTCTTCTACTCTTTTTTTTTTTCTTTCCTGTTCTTCGCTTCCCCAACTATTGAAATAAACCAGGAAGGGTTCAAATTTGCTGCAAAATACAATTTCAAGTATTCGACAGTATCTTGTCATTCTTACTCTTAATTTAATGTGACATGCATGCCAAGAAGTTATTTATAAAGCAATTTCATTTGCCCCTAGTTCACCTTTCCTATATGCATCTGTTTGTTGGATGTTAAAGGGTCACAGACCAGACTTTTATTTTATTTTATTTATTTATTATTATATTTATAAATTGGTGTTACAACACATGCACTCAAAAGACTTCGTACCCCCAACCTCTCACCAAACATCACTATGGGAGAGACTCCTGGTCCTACTAGGCTAAAGCTTAGTTGGTAGGGTCATAGACCAGTTAGGTTCCTTATGTTCCTGACTTTTCGTGTATTCTTCACTTTCTTCTTAAGTCGGTGTTTGAGTATGTTTTATTTTCGTGTGTACTTCAGAATGATCTATTCAATTGCCAGAATGGGGAATTAGAGATAGAACCTGCATCGGTTTTAGTATTTTATTCTGACACTATCTTGACGTGCAACAGGATTGGATATGGTCAGTGGGCTGTAACCCATTGTCTGTCACCTCACCAGGTTGGCATGTCTCCCAGTTCCAGTCTGATACCATTGCTAGGAGCTATATCCTCACAACTCTTGAGGAATCGATACAACTTGTGAATTCAGCCATTCATCTTCTTGTCATGGAGCGTACATGTATCCTTTCTTGTTATATATATCATGATGGTCTTGGAAGAACCGGAATCCATTTAGTCAAGAAAATTTAATAATAATTCATTCCTGGAAGATAGGAATGTCATTCAATGGTATCGGAATGATAAGAGAGTTCTTGAAAATTGTTGAAAATAACTTTAGAGAATTTCTGGGTATTAATATTGATTGTTTTTGAAATATTTTCATAGTTTGACACTTAGTTTGAGAACCAGCGGGAACAGACTTTCAAGCTCTTTCAGTCACATGAGCGTGAGTTGGTAAACAAGTACAACTATGTTGTTAGTCTTTGGAGAAGAGTAAGTGCGGTTAAAACTGCATTCTAATGTACATATTTCATATTAGGACTGTTCATTGTTAGGCAAACGCTGGTTATTTCAAACTTCTACCTGTTTCTTCTTGTAGACTTCAACTGTTACTGGGGAACTACGCTATACGGATGCCTTGAGACTGCTGAACACTTTGGAGGATGCAGCAAAAGTGTAAGTTTATACAGATCACTTGTTTTATTCTGTTAGCTACCGACCTACCGTGATATTACGCTATTTTCGTAATTAGCTTTAGTTACATATCTCACTTACGTTTACTAATTTTTTACTTGGTATGTTGGCTAGCCGGTCTAAGTAATGAAATGTGAAGTTTTATATTCTTTGCCACTGTTTAGCATGTTGGACTGGAAACTTATAAATCGGCTCTGACACGACCTGTTCTCCATTACTTTACTTTCAGTGAGATTGAGATTTTGGTATCAAATGTAAACAACTATTATTTTGCTCACGGCAAGTGTTATTATTTTGCAGATTTGCCGATTATGTGAATGTAACTGTAGCGAGTCTCCATCCAATTCACTGCACTAGGCAGAGGAAAGTTGAGGTTGAGTTTGACATGACAACAATTCCTGCCTTTTTGGTTGTTATATTTATACTCTGGTTTGTCTTAAAACCAAGAAGATCAAAGCCGAAGATCAACTGAAAATCGCTATATAGACGTAAGTGTTAGGGTTGAGTTGGGGGGTTATGGTGTGGTTATGGATTTCCTATGAGCACCAAAAGAAGAGAATAGCACGTCTTCTTACAGGTGACGAAGACAGAGGTTAGGCCTAGGAAAAACTGTTCAAAAATGTCTTCTAACTGTAATTTTTTTCTCATAGTGTGAAATTGATATAACAGATTTTGCTTCTTGGGGCGAAGATATGAGAGATTTTGTATTTTTCTCATGAACTGCATTCCTAATTCATTTGCGCTTTGCTCTTATATACATACAATGAGGGGAGGGGGAAACGAAACCCTTTCGTGTACGATTTTATACCTATGAACATTTTTCTTCTCAAAATTTATGGCTTGGTTTGGTTTCTGCTCTGTTTGATTCTAATATTTTGTCCTGCATGTTATTATCTATACAAGTTAAAGGCTTTATGATGTTTAATCCTATTAAATATATTCAAACATAAGATTAAAAATGGAACCTGATTTTCATTAGGCATACAAATAATATATAATTCAATCTCAAGTCATATTATTACACAATCCTATGAATGATACTGTCCAATACAGAGATAATCATAGACAATATATTCTTAAGCAGTTTTAATCAGTCTTATCACTCTTCTCAACTTGTCAAAATTCCCTAACGAGGCCAAAAACCAGACAATATCCTACATGAAATACTAACAAGTACAACCAAACACAATATACTACATCCATTGTGATATCTAACAAACACAATATACATACTAAATATATGTTATATTGGAATACATATCACACCCTACACCATGCTTGTACCAAACGTGCCCTTATGTGAAAATCAGTGATAATTCTGGCACTTCTTATATGGTTTCTGAGAAGAGATTGCCAAAATTATTATATGGAATCGGTTGATTGAATCGGAAAACTGGATTTTTAATTTAGAGAAAGTGAAAACTGGATTGCAACTCTGGTTCGAAAAGTCTCGAAAACTGAAAATTGATTATGACTTCGGAGTTCTCGGAAATCGGATTACTTCTATGTTTTCGGAAAAAAAGATGGGAAATTTCATATCACTAATCTTTAGGAAATTGGAACCATTCAGTTTACATATACTTCCAATTTCAATTCAAACCCAAAATTTGGTTCCAATTTCCACCACAAAGTGTTGTACAACCTCGGGTTGAAGGTTCGAAATTTTCATTGACAATCTTGGAGAATAATTTCAAACTGAAAAAATAATTTAATAAATAATGCAATATAATCTGAAGAAATAAATGAGACATATTTCACTAGCTACTCTGAAGAAACATGGGAAACAATACTAGAATACGAATAAATAATTTAGTGGTTGGTTTGGTTGGTGGTTGAAGGTGGCGGTGGTGTTGGTGCTGTTTGAACTGCATAAATTTCGACAGCCTTGTTGACTCGGGCGACATAGCGGATAGTTATAGAAAGAAGCTCGCCATTGGCATAGCCACGGCCAAACGATTCCAAGAGGTGGTGAGTGATCTTTGTCATCTGGTGGTTTTTTGTAACCTGTTGCCTATGCTTCGTATCCATATCTAAAATTAATCGCTGAACTTCCGCGTACATGGCCATCTGCTCTTCGCTTAGAGTAATTTCTTCTTCGCCATCGACGTCGTCATTTGCTTCTTTGACCCCATGTTTCACCGGCGGCGGCGGCATTTGCTTCATTAGGTCTGAAACATCAAAATATTTATCCAATTCTTTTTTCGCTTCGTCTATTGCGTTCTGCAGTTTCTCGATTAGCTCTTTCGTTGCAGACATGTACACTCCGGCGGAGAATCCTCTGTTTATGGGTACGTTCATGTCAAGCTCCATCTTCTTCGATCTTCCTCCTGAACATACATACATACATCAATCAAAACTCGAACTCGGATTATTAAATAAAATTGAACATGCACAAAAAAAATAAAAAATAAAAACCACATCTCTATTAATTCCGTGTTTTCTTGACTAAACTCACCTTGTTAAAATTATATATCTTGAAGATGAAATTCGAAGAGAAGAAACGGACATCTTATAAATAGACACAAACTTGGCGTAAGATTCAAGCGGAGCGGTGTCTCTACTCTAGGAAACCTTAATAAACAATAATAATACCCTTCTCAATTCAAATCAAATTCCTAAAAAATCTCTCTACAAAATCAAAACCTAAATCTTTCTATCAAATTAAATTTCCTTAGATTCCATCTCCTCTCAATTTTAATAAATAAACAAAATAAATTTGTAATTTACAAATCATATTAATTTATTTTTACTTGCTCTTCACTCTCACGAGTCATGAAAACAACTATATGATTTGTTATTTAACCCTATTACAATTTGCATCTTACCATTACAATATGCATTTTGCAATTTTAAAATATAAAAATTGAGCGTAAAATATACATCAAAATTAAATATGAATTAACAAAATTGAATTTATAATTTGCATTGTGTTTCAAACGGCAAAAATCACCAACAATATAATCCCCACACGAACAAATCCCGTCTTTGAAGCAATGAAACCGATTCGAATCCCTCACTTCAGAGTGTTACTCAAAACACTCTCAAGTGGATATTACATTATAGTTGTTTTTCCGACTATATAAACCTCTATGCTCGATATACAATCTTTTGTCTCGAAGTCAAAACAAACTCATCATGGTAATCAACCATGTCTTGTGGCTTCAAATATTTACGGTCCTAATTTATTTATGGAGGCTTATCTTCGACAAGTCAACCTCCGCGGTGCAGTAAGTAACATAAACATCCACCTTCAAATTTTTATTTATTTTTATTTAATTGAACGCGCAAGATGGGCGTTCCAACCTTTTTTTGTGAAAAAAAAAGCCCTACAAATCGATTTGTAGGGCTTTTTAACATGAAATTGGTTCCGTAATCGACCTACCCAATGCATATTACATATAAAAGAGTCGAAATTACATCAAAAAATCGAAGCCCATTCCTTCTTCAAGCTTGATTTCGAATTTTCGATTTTTTTTTTTTTTGCTATTTGCAATTTTGGGGGGTTTTTGAATTTTTTTGAAAGTTTTGAGGGGTTTTGTTATAAACCGCAAATAGCAATTTTGTGACCGTAAATAGCATTTCATTTTATTATCTATGCAAGTTAAAGGTTTTATGATGTTTAATCCTGATAAATATATTCACACAAGATTATAAATAATATATAGTTCAATCTCAAGTCATATTACAACACAATCCTATGAATGATACTGTCCAATACAGAGATTATCATAGACAATATATTCTTAAGGAAGTTTAATCAATCTTATCTATCACTCTTCTCAACTTACCAAAATTCCCTAACGAGGCCGAAACCAGACAATATCTTACATGAAATAATTAATGAAGCCAGACGACTCTCATTCTCAGCATTGTTACAGCATAAACCAAACCGTTTCAACTATTGCAGTACTCCCAAAAGCCGATGAAGAATTCCACACTTGTGGGTAAAATCTATTGACTTACGAATCTGTCGACTTACGAATTCAGTCCTTTTCCACCAATTCCCTAATCCCGGGCCAGCTTCTGTCCCTTCCCTTTCTTATTGCGGGACCCACTAAGCTTCTTCCACTTTTTCAATGAAGCATCAGTCCTCATAAAGGGGCAAGTTTCGCTTACGACAGTGTCTCCCAAAGCCCTATTACTTTGTACATTGTTGGTAAGATGTAATGGAGCAGACTCCTCACCCTTCTCTTCGACAACTGCTTCTTTTGAATCAGAATTCGATTGCTCCTTGGTTAACACACTCGCCATTGGGTTCTCAAGAGCAGCATAAACATCTTTATTAGCACTTCCTTGAGGTTTACCCATGTCTTCCTCGTGGACAAATCCTCCATTTTTCGAATTAAAAAAGTCGTCGTTGTTGTCCAGCTGTTGTGTCTCTTGTGTTTGAAAAGTTACGCCAGGTAAAACTTGCGCAAGGCTGAACTTACTGCTACTTGCATCTGCAACCAGTTGCAACCATGACGACTTTTGCCGCCACGCAGCACCTCTGGCCATTTTTTCGTCAACTGCACTTGGTTTAGCTGATTGAACATCCACTTTAACTCCACTTGATTCGTCTCTCTTGTCATCATTTTCATCGAACCCAGCACTTGGTTCAGTTGATTGACCATCCTCTTTAACATCGCTTGATTCATCTCTCTTGTCATCATTTTCATCGAAGCCAGCACTTGGTTCAGTTGACTGAACATCATCCTCTTTGACTTCGCTTGATTCGTCTCTCTTGTCATCATTTTCATCGAAGCCAGCACTTGGTTCAGTTGACTGAACATCATCCTCCATAACTTTGCTCGATTCGTCACCCTTTTCATCACTTCCATTGAAGCTATCAGAAATTGGCTCGGCTTCAACTTCAGGATTAAGGTCCATCAAAACGTCTGAGATGTGGAAAGCAGCACTATCCTTGTCACGTACCAGATCTTTCCATGGTGACTTCCGCGAGCTTCCCCCATCGCGACTTAACTCTACCGGACCTGATTTCGAATCGATTGACTTAGTCTTTACAGCGACTGGAATATCTTCGCTGTCATGTGGGACCCCCTTCCTTCCCTTTTTGTTTGAAGGTGCAGTATTGTTTGAATTATTTTCTTCAACGGATTGTTTCCTCTTCTTGTTAGGAAGAAGGTTCGTTTTTTCATTTCCGTGCACTTCAGGAATGGGTTTACTGAAAGACGCTGGCTCTCTCAGAAAAGAGTCCTGCACATTCAACGTAACCAATTTTTTTTTTTTCAAAACAGTTGGCAATTATGACAAGAAACAACAAAAAATTAGCCATCACAATTTAGATAATTACCTGATTAACAGCAGTCATTTTCTGTCCCCAGTCCTCCAATGAATCAACTCTCTTACTCGACTTTCCCACTATGTTAATCACAAGGTTATCTTCATCACTTGCTTCATCTTCATCGCTCACTTCATCTTCCTCAATATCATCAGCTTGCCCATTATAAGCAGCGTCACAATTTGCTTCCTCGGTAACTTTAGCTTGATTAGAGACAGTCTTAACTGTCTTCGAGCTATTCCTATCTAATAGCTTGTCCAATATCGATTTCATCATGTTAAGCTCGTTTTCATTCACCCCAAAAACCTCCGTCTCGTGGGAAACGGTAACGGTAGGATTTATTTTGGCCGACTCAGGAGGTACAGAATGCTCTTCACAGTCGCAAAAGTGGATGGGAAGGGGAGGAATTTCGACACGTTGGAAACTGTACTTGTGTTTTCCAGTTCCTTTGAGAGGTATAGGTTTTATCTTCAAATGCAAACACAATAGATAATCAGACATTATATCTATCAGCTATGTAAAATTTATAACTAACGAAACAATTTGACCAACTTACCCTCCTCAATCTGGGAAAAAATAAATTGAGCTGTGATTTGTCAATATCTAGGTCTTTTTTCGGTTTCTGCAAGACCGGCACACTGTCAACCGCATCAACATTCTGGGTGGACAATTTGATTTCAGTCTCGGCCTCTTCTGCCCATTCGCGGTTTAAGCGAAATAAATAATGTTCTTTGGCTTTCTCGAGCCTTAGTTTTCCCCCTTTCCAAAGGCAACCATTGTACTGCAGTATTTATATATCCAATGAACAAAAGTAAGAACCATTATCATTAACAAACACAAATAACAGTGCAAACGAGCGAAGTAAGGTGTTCACTCAATTCATTTCTCAAATTGCCAGGTGAATCATATGGAATCGATCTCCTAGTTCGATCAATGAGCCGATTTTTTTTTATGAGTGCCATGTCTTTTTTCTTCTGCAACTAAGTAACATGCCAAATTAAATTACATTTAAATTACCGGCTTCACTTTCAGCAAGTTAGTATTTCGTATTTTGATAACGGTGTTAAAGCTCGTGCTCTTGTTAATTTAAGATTGACATTAATCATTCTAAATTAAAGACATGTATCTATGTGTATAAATATTGAGAGAGAGAGAGAGAGAGAGATACCGTGCTGAAAAGCTTAGCGAGGCCTTTGTCGGAGACGGGAACAAACTCCAAATAGCCAAAGCTCCGATCTTTGGTGCGAATAATTTCAACGGATTCGACAGTGCCCAACTGAGGTGATGTGAAAGTCTTCCTCAAATCATCGTCCTGCACACTCGATCCCAACCCCCCTATATATATCCTCATTTTTTCTCCCATTCTCTTAATTTACTCTTAATACCCACTAAATTGCACCTTCTTCTACACTTCGTATTTCTATTTTATCCCCCTCTCTCTCTCTCTCTCTCTCTATGTGTGTGTGTTCCTGTAAAACCCTAATCCTCACTGAAATCTGGAGTTGATTTTGTTTTGAGAAAATAATAAATTAATTAATAATAAAAATTATTAATATCGTATCAATAATATAAAATGATTTTAATTTAATGGGCTTAGGGCCTTAGGCCCGTTTTGTGCGATGATATAGGCTCCGATTATATTTGGTTCTAAATAAAATAAAGCAGTATATATACTTGACGCAACCGGAGCTTCAAAAATCCAGTCCAGGAACTACATAATAAATACGAGAAACATTCGATTTCTCTCAGTTAAACCCTAAAACCATGCCTCCGAGAAAGGAATTCTGTAAATTTTTTGCGCGTGGCAGGTACGCCTTTTTCCATATTCTTCATTAATGCTTCTCTATTACTCCAATTATTTTCGAATTTCCGGACTTTGAATTGAGTTCGTTCGGACTGCCGTCTTATTCCTGGATTTAAGTTTTTCATTTGTTTATCGGATGATTGATTCTGTTTTTCATATTGTCATCGGCGTCTTGATTATAACCTAATTCTTCTTAATTTATGCTGCACATTCCATTTTTTTATTTTGGAAATTAAGTAGTTTGAAATTAATCGTATCTGCAGTATGTTTGTGTTCAGCTAAGAATTACTATGTACTGTTAAAAATAATATAAAAAGAATAATTTATATTATCAGATGCATCGATATTTTACATGATATGTTGCTTGCTATTGGAGACGATAATATGTTAATCTCATAGGTGTGTATACATTTGTTGAGTGCACCATCTAATATTTGGCTCGTTTATTCCAGTTGTCGTAATGGCAACAGCTGTAATTATCTTCACGCCACACCCCAACAATCAAATGCCAATCCCTTTGGATTTGGAAATCAAGCTAGCAATCCGTCTCAGCGCGTAAATCAACAACAACAGGCGCCAAACCCTTTTGGTTTTGGCATGCAGAACAAAAATCAGTCGAGAGGGGGTAACGATTTTGGATCCAAACCAAATCAAAACAAGGTTCTTTCCTGCTCAATTCCAGCTTCTTACAATTATTTTTTTCTTCGTAATTTTACATGTTATCCTGTGGCGTGTTACTGTTACTTTTCAAATCAAAGAAATTTTAGTTACTTACAGTTGTGTATGCAATTCTTGATTCTTTGACTCCAGCCTTTTGAGAATACGTGGTCCCGTTCCTCCAATGTAAATACTAGTGGTGCCTCGGTTACGCGGCAATCGGAGAAGCAACAACCAGTTGCTGATCACAAGTGAGTAGATCCCTTCTCTATCAGTTCGTAGAGTTCATTTGTTTCTCTTTCATATATACTTAACTAAAGCATGTTTTGATGGACGTGTTTTTTATGCCTACAAAGGTGCACTGATTCTGAATCCTGCAAGCGCATAATAGTGGATTACTTTTCCCAATATAGGAAAAGAGAATCTAGCCCTTCTGAATATTAGTTGCAAATTTATTTTATTGCAGTCTATTATTTTGTTATATTTGGGTGCTGTGATTTCATGTTAGAACTGTTTTTTTTTTTTTTGGTATTTTATATGACTAAAATGTATTTTCATCTACAGTGGTCCATGTGACATCGTTGGTGACATCAGCTGCGAAGAGTTGCGTGCATTAGCATATGACGATGCCAAGAACGGAACGAACTTTCCGCTAATTGTAATAACACTTTACTGTTCCAAGCTGAGCAATTAAAATATTTATAAATTTTGCTACTTAAAGTTCCTCTTTGGGGTCTTATCATACTTGCACTAACTTAATTTTCTTCCAGAATCGGAAAATTTTATTTTTTTCTAGCGACTAATGTTTGTTCTTGTTGTTCAGGTTGAGAGAGAGAGGAGTTTGCTAAATTCCAAGTTAGTTGAATTTCAGAACCTTATGCAGAAACCTAGCAGCAATCAAAATCCGTTTGGTGTAGTCAGTGCAAATGCTACCACCATCAATAGCGGTTTTTCGCCTACAGCATCAAACTTTAGTCAACTCCATGCATCACTAAGCTCAGGGTCTGAACCGAGAGAATTTATATATCTGGTTTGCTATTTTCCATTATCCATTCCTTGTGTGTGTTTTGCTAACTTTCTAACTTTGTTCTTCCATTTCTGCCCCTAGGCCTTCTCCTGCTGTTCCTAATTATAGCTTTGGTCAAAAAAATACCTTCCAGAACAATAGTCAGCCATCTGCCATGTTTCAGACGAACAATTCTCCCTTTAACACTTCAGGTACAATTTGGAGTCAGTTTAATGAGTATATGCTATTAAAGTAATGTATTAATTATTATGCATGCATTTATCTGCCCCTCCATATGTGTTAGGCTCGTTTGCTAGTCGTGTTCCTCAACAACAACCTGGTCAAGGTCAAGGTCAAGGTCAAGGTCAAGGTTCCGTCCCCTTTGGTTCAGCAAGTGCTCAGACGAATCTTTTTTCATCTTTCGCTAATGTATCACAGACAGGAAATGTGTTTGATAAACCGTTAAACTTTGCCTCCAATGAACCCTTTTCAGCTCCAAGCATCGGCATCCAGTTGAGGTAAGCATTCCCACCTTTTCTTTTTTTGAAATTAAACATGTTTATCTCTCTCTGTTCTTTTTTTTTCCCGATATTATTGGACAAACTACCCTAAAAGCTGCAATATCCACTTGTTGTGGTCAATTGGGAAAATTTGCCTTTCGATTTTCGTTTTTGCTTTGTGTCCAATTAATTTTACAAGAACAGATTTGAATTTGATAATCAATGGGCGCATTGTAGAAATAGTTTAGTTATCCAACGATACTAGTTTGCGTCTACTTACAACTGCTTTTGGTTTATCCTCTAGTAATAATACTCCGAAGGAGAATACTAATGCGGATGATAGCATTTGGAAAAAAGCTGAATGGAAGTGGAATGCTGGAGAGGTGAACTAAACAAATTGAATCTCTATTTTTGTTTCCTACTAATGATTTCAAATGCTCGAGACTTTACAGTGCTGATAATTTCTTTAATTTTTTAATCTTCTCGAGTCTAATATAAGCTCGTGTTTTATTTTTCAGATCCCAGAAGATGCGCCTCCAGATATTTATATTCACTAGAATTGGTGATTCAACCCAATCAGATTTTCTGCTACTGTCATGACATGATACTCAGCTTCTAGAACATTCCATACGTGTAAAATTAGTTGAGTCTTAGAGGAGGGAATTTTTCGAGGTGGCCCACAATTGTGCAAAAATCGAGCTCGAGAATTGTGTGTTGAACTTCTTTTAGTTTAGTTACACACAATTGAGTTCTTGCAAGAATGCATACTTTTTAATATTTTGGACAGCCAAACTAGAACTTAGCGTTTGTTAATAGTTATAGTCGACCATTTTTACAACTGTCTAATAAGCTCGGTATCGTTAATTTCATATAATTATCTGGTTTTATTTTTTTATGAATAATTTAAGAGTGATAATTGTACTAAGTTAGACAATCAGTAGTATATGCTAAATCCGGGCCGTGTTAGGTGAGTCCAATAAGACCAAAACTATACAATTACTAAGCAAAATTCAATATATTCAGTTAATTTATTTTATTTTGATAAATTTAATTCACTTTATTAAGCAATTACGGGGGGAACTCTTTGCAACGAACTCGACCTGAACTGCGTTGACGTGGAGAATCGAAGAAAAGTGTGAAGCATGCATCATTTGAAGGAACCTTCTTTTTATGGTCGGCTTGAACAGCCTGTCTCCATATAGAGAGAGAGGGAGAGAGAGAGAGAGAGCCTACACTAATTACTAATTTGACAATGTAATCATTCCAATCATTGTATGAAATTTGCTGGATATGCTAAATTATTTTTTAAGAGTATAATTGTTTCATCAATGAGAGGTTAATTTAAACTCAATTGCAGATTATTATCCTGAGAAGGATGTGCACGTCATTAATTAATGATTAATCACTATTATTATTATTTAATTAAAATGATTGAAAAGGAGAGTAGACTAGTCTATATTTAATCGACACTAGGAAACATTAATCCCAAGCTATACAATTGCATGCCCTTTCCAAATTACGCGGTTTGAAGTTTGAGTGGGTCCCACTGAATATTAAACAATACTAAGAAATTATATATTCGAGCTGAAAAGTTCTTGAAACATCGTGCTTACCCTAATCATCACCAACAACAACATAAACATAAACAAATCTCTCTCTCTCTCTCTCTCTCTCTCTCTATCTCTCCTCTCTCTCTCTCTCTCTCTCTCTCTCTCTCTCTCTCTCGTTTGTAAAGTTTATGTCTGAAAAGTATAATTGATTGGTTCAGATAAGATCCCCACTCTTCATTCATTTCAGACAGGAGTACTGTCGTCTCTCTCTTTTATTATTTAATTTTTCCTTTTATACATACACAAGTATATATGCAAGATAAATAAATGCAACATCTTTCAATCAGATTCTGTAACCATTGACTATTGACCTTGTCGTATGTGTGGCCTTCTTTTTTTGGAAATTAATAAATGTAATTTTAGTTTCATAAGTTTGCTTTAATAGGAATTTTATCCCTTAAATTTTGTAGAATTATTGAACTGATTAAAATTGAAATAGAACAAATTAGAGAACTAAATCACTAAGAACTCATTTAGTTGGAAAGATCGGCTATGATTAACTAAATAATTAGACTTTATTTGATGTTTTATATCTTCAATAAATCACCGAATTGAATTGATTCGCAAATATTATATTATCATGATTTATCTTGTCTTTTAGAACATTTTTATTTGACATTTTGAATAATAAAATAATTGAACTTACATTAAATTATTTAATCTTATTTTACCTAATTTTATTTCGACAATCATACAAAGAATAGCAGTGCGGCTGACTTTGACCTCTCTTAATCATCATTCGTAAGTTAATTAATTTAATTTTTATTATTATTATTATAACTTTATCTTCTCTCCCTAACAACTCTCGAAATTATTCTTCTTGGCAACGTGCTGTCTTGTCATAATGGGATTCTGCTAAAATAAACATTTTTTTTTTTATTCTTCGAATAGTACACATGTTCCAGAATTTTGATTGATTTTTTCTTATACTGACAACTTATTCTAAATTTCAATATAAATAATATAAAAATGGCGAAAAAAAAACCAAAATTGATTTCATGAAAATACACTTCGTGGTCTCCCATTACACACAGTTATGTACCAAACCAACACGCAAAAAAATAAGTCACCCCTCCCTAAAAATATTAATTAAAACAATATTTAATTAATTAATTTATAATTATTTCAATATATAAAAGTAGTGGTCTGTGGGAGGAATAACCTTGAGCCAACTAGCAAACAGCTAATTGTAATTGTTCATTTTTACAAAATAAAAATTAAATAAATAAAGAAAAAGAAAAAGAAAAAGAAAAAGAAAAAAAGAGGATTGCCAGCTGGAACCACTCTTCTCTGTTTCCATTACAAATTCATCCCTTTTTTTCTTCTGAATGTATTCAAATTAGTACTTCTCCCTCCCAATGAGTCCCTTATCCAATAGAGGGCCAACGCCGCCAGCCTTGCGGCGGCGCCGCCCCTCTCCCTTGCTCATTGCAGCTCTCTTCGTTTCCATGTTCTTCTCTCAGATCTCCATTGCTTCAGCTGCCGATCAGGGTATCGATTTAGCCACAATTGAAAGTAAAGCCAACAATTTCACCTTCCAAAACCCTAGCCTCCGGCAAGCTTACATTGCTTTACAGTCATGGAAGCAAGCCATTTTCTCCGATCCGTTCAATTTCACCGCCAACTGGACGGGGTCTGACGTCTGCTCGTACGCAGGAGTTTTTTGCGCCGCCGCTCCTTACAACGCCTCCGAGACGGTGGTCGCCGGAGTTGACCTGAACCACGCCGACATCGCCGGATACCTCCCCGAAGAACTCGGCCTGCTGACTCATCTAGCTCTCTTCCACATTAACTCGAACCGGTTCTGCGGTGTGGTCCCACAGAGCTTCAAAAAGTTGAAGCTTCTATTCGAGCTGGATATCAGTAACAACCGGTTCGTCGGCGGTTTTCCGACGGTGGTGCTCTCTTTGCCTTCTCTGAAATTTTTGGATCTCCGGTTTAATGAGTTGAGGGAGGTGTCC